CTTATTATATTAGGAAAAAAGCCTGTTTTGTTAGAAGCTACGGCGACAACAAAGTTGAGCTAATCAGGCTAAGGATTACATTGGAGGGGCGTTTAAACGCATAGAAGGAGCGATAGCAAACGGAAGCTAATTAGTTAAAAAGAAGTATTGAAAATTAGAGGTAGGAAATCGTTATTTTAATAGGGAATTTGAAAGTTATATAATCGCAAAATAACTGTATAGCTGAAAAACTATAGCTTAAATCGTCTAGAACTAACTTAAAAGCTATTGATAAGCTTTAAGCTGCGTAAACTATAGACAGGAGTAGGAATAGCCTATTTTTTAAGCCGTTTTGTATAGGTTTTAGCCTTAGGAGCCTTTTTTAAACAGAGAGCCTGTTTCTACTTTATTTTTGCATTATGTCTAAGCTCTTTAATTAGTCGGTTTTTTAGCTTATCTTTTTAAGCTGTAATTAAAGGAGGCTTGTTTGCAAACTGTTTTTTAAGGTTGTTCTACATAAAGGTAAGTAAAACGATTAGCTATAGGGGCTTAATCGTTTTAAGCATTATAAAAGGAGTATAGCGTATATAAAGGTTAGAAATTATAAGGTATAACGTTAGTTTAAAAGCTAAATATATAGGAGCTTAATTTTGATTTTAATAAGCTAAAAGAAGTATAGCTAGAGGCGATAACATAATAGAAGCTAATTTAGTTAGTATAAGGGTAGCTACTATTTCTATATATATCGGTTTTAATAATATAGCTAGAGGAGTAATTATAAGGTAAACTTTAATAAATAAGCAGTTTAGGTATATCTTTTTATAGGAAACAGCTAAGTCTATATCCTATAATTAATTATATTAATATAAACTATATAATAAATAGATAGCGCTATTATTGCATATAACGTTAGTTTCTTTAGCATATATATATATCTAAATAAAGCCTGCTTTTACTATATTAGCTGCTATAAAGCTATTTTAGTAGGGCTAAAGCTTAAAGGTCTTAAGACAAGCTTAACGCAAGATAAGTTTATAAGTAATAAAAAAAGATATAGTAGCGTAATAATATCTAGCTAAAAAATCGTTAAAGATTTTAATAATAATATTTTAAAAATTTTTAATAATTAGTAAAGCTACTAAAGCGTAGGGCTGTTTCCGGATTTTAGCGTTTAAATAAATATAACAATACTTAATCTTTTAGTGTTACTATTATTTATAAAGAAATACAGTGTATAAAGACCTTAATAAGCAATATATATAATATAGTTAGTTGATAATAGATTGATTATAAGCTATCTAACAAGCTATAGTAGAAGTAAAGCCTTATACTAAGCCGGGTAAGGCTAAGCTAAGCCTAATTAGGATATCCTTATCCGCTCTCACTATAATCCGTAATAGTCTAAGTAAGGCCTATAGATAAAATAAGCTTAAAAGTATTAAATAATAAAAATATATTTTTAATTTCCTTTTCTTTAAAAGCTTTAATTTTCTTTTAATTAAAAGTTAAAAAAAGTAGAAAGGGGGGTTTATATTTTTAACCTCTTTTATATTCTTTACCCCTTAAAGGAATAAATATTTAGAGGATATAAGTAAAGCTTTTTATTAGTTTTTAATTAGAATTAAAATAATTTAAAGAGAATACTAAGAAATTATTTAAATTTTAATCTTTCTTTTTATTATTATTTTTATATAAAGCTTTACTATCTTTTTTATATAAAAAGTAAATAGAAAATATTAATTTTAGTAAAGCTAAGATTTCTTTAAAAAAAGATTTAAAAGGGGGAAATTAACTTTATTATTAAAGATAAATATAGGGAAAATTAAAGATAATAGCTTATAAAAAATAAATTAAAAATAAAAATAATATAATATAAAAAAATAAATATTAATATAATTATATAAAAAATTAACTTAAAAGTTAATTTAAAAGACTATAAATAAGCTAAAAAAGTTTTTAATTAATTTAAAATTTTAAATATTTTCTTAAGTATTTTATAAAAAAATTTAGAAAGTTCTTTAAAAGAAGATTAAATATATAATAAAATTAAGATAAAAAAAGAAATTTTTAATAAATAAAAAGCTAACTTAAGGGACTTAAAAAAATAGGCTAAAATTCTTATATAATTTAAAAATATAAAATAATTAATAAAAATAAAAATAAAAAATATTAACTAGTTTTTGAGAAGAGGTTTAAAGGTAAAAGGGAATTAAAAAATATATAAAATATAGCTAGTAGTTAGATTTATAGTTATTATTTATAAAAAGAAAAGTATTATTATTAAGCTTATTAATATAGAAAAAGGTATTAGTATTAATAGGCTTTTACTTACTAATATATTTTATTTTATATTTTTTATTAAATTTCACTTAATAAACTTTAAGGTTATTTTATTTCTATATATCTAATACTATATAATAACTTATAAAAAAGTATAAAATTAAATAAATATAGAAAGATATATAGTAATAATTATAGTAAAGAAATATATTTTAAAAAGAGGGGTTTAAAAATAATATAAGGAGATAAAGTTAAAAAAATTAACTTAATAAAATATAAAATAAATAAGTAAATTGCCTTAAAAAAAAGATAAAAAATTATTAAATAATATTATTTTACTACTATAATAAAGTTAATATAAAAGGCTAGAGCTTATTTATAAAGTAAAGATTATAATTCTTCTTAAAAGCTTCTAAGAAATAAAGTTAAATTAAATCTAAAATAAAGTAAAAGTAATAAAAAATTTAAAATTAAAATTTATTATAATAAATCTAAATTAAGTATTAGCTTTAAGTAGGTAAAAAATTATAAAAAACTTTAAATTTAAAAAAAGAAAAAGTAATTATAAATAAAAGCTATTAAAATTAAAATAATAAAAGAATTAATAAAAAAATCTAGTATATAAAGGGAAAAGAGGCTATATTTATTAAGTAAGTATATAAGTTACTAATAGTCTTAATAAAAGTAATATTTTCTTTTTAGTTTAGAATTATAATTAAAGGCTAAAGCTTTTTAATAATTAGAAATAAAGGTAATAAAATATCTTATTTAGAAAAGAATAATAAAGATATATAAATATAATATAATAATAATAAAAATATATAAATAGATAATAAATAATAATAATAAAGAAACTAAGTTATAATTTTTAAAAATATAAATTTAAAAGTTAATAAAAAAATAGAAATAAGAAGTTATAACGAATATAATAATAGTTTAACTATAAGATTAAAGAAGATAATCTTATTAATATAAAAATAAGAAATTTAATAAATATATACTATAATTACTATATTAAAGACTATAAAGTATTTTAAAAATAATTAACTAAATAAAGAATTAATATAAAGTTATTTCTTTTTTAAAATAAGCTTCTTATAGTAAACTTACTAAGGAGGGAACTATATAAAATAGGCTATATTTTTAACTAGTAATAAGGAGCTTATAAATTAAAAGGAGATAAAGTTAGTTAAAGGTCTATAGATAAATCTAAAATAGAATAAAAACTAAAATAGCTAATTAAAAGAAAAATAAAATATATTATTTAATTAAATAAGATTCTAGCTAATAGAATTAATTATAAAATATATTATTTAATATAGTTAATAGAAAAGCTATTTTATTAATAATAACTTATAAAATTAATTACTACTTTTTTAATTATTAAAAACTAAAATATTATATTTTTTATAACTTAATATATAAGTATTATAGAGGGAAATAGAAGTTAGATTTAAAATTAATAAGCTAAACTATATAAGTTTTATATATAAACTTTTATAGTTAAATTAAAACTTATATATTAAATAATTATATATCTATATTATAATCCTAACCCTCCTCTACATATAACTATTATTTTTAAATATTATTAAAATTATTAAATATTTTTTAAAATTTATAAATTTTAAAAGTTTTTAAAATCTTTTTTTAAAATTATTATTAATTTTTCTAATAATAGGCTAATTTTAAGAATTTAAGGTTTAATATTTAGAGATTTATTTATATTTTTATAATTTTCTTCTTTTATTATTAATATTTTTAAAATAAAGTTAAAAAAAGAAAATTAGTTTTTTTATTAAGTTTTTATATAATTTTAAATTAGACTTAATAATATTTATTACTAATTCTAGGGAATCTAGTTAGAAGTCTAAATAGCTATTATATTGGTTTTAATCTATAACTTTATAATAATTATTATAATTATAATATTTACTTATAATATTATTATGTTTTTTTATAAGTTTTATAAAAAAAGTTTTTATTATAAGTAACCTAGTAATAGATTTCTAATAATATACTTAAGTATTAATTACTTTAATTCTCTTAGCTAAGATAAACTATTTTTTAAATATTTATAATAATAAAATAATAATTATTAAAAAATATACTTTTAATTTTATATTTTTAAAGTATATAAAGTATTTTAAAATAATTTCCACTAGATTTAGCTTTAATAAATCCTTTAATAATTAAATATTTAAGTTATAATAGACATTATAAGTAACCTAGAAGGCGAAATATTAGGCGTACTACTTTCTACCTCTAGTATAACTAGCGCTCCCAAAGGAGTGCTCTACTCCCTTAGATACTTTTACGCCTAGGTATAAAACCTATAAGCTGAATACACTATTACCCTACACAACCTTATGCTCGCACATGCTCTAAATTACTAAATAGCGAGCCCCTTGTTCCTCCTTCTAACCCTTATCGCAGGCGGCTATATTAAGGATTATAGTATGCTGTTCACACTAGCTTAGTTCTAGGAAAGAATAAGGAAGGGTGATGTAACATACGTCTATATCTTACTAGTATTCCTCCACTCTCTTGAGAAGTATTCTGCGGAAGAAATCGAGCGTGGATTAGCGGAGTAAAAGAAGGAGATGGTCGAGGGCTTTTTTGTATCCGCATAATAAGAACCACCACCACAAGGCATAAGAGACACAAGAAGATAGTTACTAGCTACAGTTTCGCTAGCCAACAAATACTTTCCGCCTCTATCGCTTAATAATTACACAAGCTTAGCTTCTAGCGCCGACTCGTTTAGATCGCATTGTACCTCTTCGACTTTTTCGTGCCTTGACCTCTTTCTTATTAACTTCCTTCTTCCACCCCACTTCCTTCCACCTAGGACTCCTGCGACTGCCTTCTTCCACTACACTCTCCGCAACCCATTCCTTGTTCGACCTTAGACTCGCGCGACGAGCTGCGGCCTCCACATCTCTGCTCCTAGTACTCTGATCTTGTTTTTTTACCATGCTCTCCTTTCTCGTTGCGGTACTCTTTCTTCTCACCGCATGATGCTGCAGCAAACCCCTCCAATCCCCCGTCGTCACACTCTCCAATTTCTCCTCGAACAGATCGTCCATCCTACTCTCCAAGATCTCCGCTAGTCTTTGGTCCACAATCGCCGCTACCCGCTTCTCTAGCTGCTGCTCGAAGACGCTGACAGTCTTCCGAATGACAAGGCTTGTCACTTGCTTTCTAGCATAGTTGTAGCCATGCCGCTTGACAATACTGAATACACGTCGCTTGGAAAACATTAGGAAGGTTTTGTATATATCGTTGTGAAAAATTGACGATCTAGGATGAAATGAGCAATATCCTTGTGATATGCGACGCGCTTTTGCTTGAGTTGCTGGTTGGGAGAGTTTGTCTTGGACGTTGCCTTTGTCGTTACTCTCATCTTTGATTGCCCTTTGTCTTTGAGCGCCTAGAATAGAATTACAAATCTTTTTTTGTCCTCCAAGACTCACAGTCAAAGACAAACAGTAATCCAGACATCAAAGCACTACTTTTGAAGACTTGTCAAAGAAGATGCACTTGGCATTGATTGATCATCGAGGTCTGACTAGTGTTCGCCGTAAGGCACATTAATCACTTTGCTTCCGGCAAAACAATTAAAATGTAACATACACCCGTTCCCTGATTGTGCTCAGCCTGCCACTTCTCCTTCTTTTCTTAGTCTTATGCATTAGAAGATTTCCCTGAAGACTCTGTGAACATTACAATACAGGGCCAGTGTGAGAACGGCAGCAGTAGAAGCAATAGACGTCACAGCAGTCCTGTTCCTCACTTAGCTCTCTAGTGTTTCACATAGATGTGATGCCCATTCTCTGTCTTTGTGAACATCTTCGTTTCCACGGATGAACCGGTCACTAAGCGGTGATCCGAGGCGTAGTTCGTTCCGGAGACAGCATTATGTTCATTATGTATATTGCAATGCTGGAGGATACTGCGTGTGCAGCGAATTGCAACGGTGGTAGAGATCAGGTATTATGAGAAGAATCTGTTAGGATTCTCATTAGCGCTGCACTCATGCCCTGCTAAAGTCCGCTTTAACTCTACACCCTAAAAAATTCGTGAACAGCACGATCCAGAATCCTCTCGTGATGTTGAAGCCGTTCCTGAGTCCAAATAGCGTAACACCGCTGCTTTTCCCGAGCGGTCGACATGTCGCGAGTCAAATTGCGATATTGAAAATGACCATACAGCAAGCATATGCCAAATCCGGATGTAAAGATTATACGTGGGATAAAAGCGGTGCTAGGCAAAGAGGGCGATCTCAAATGCACTACCGAAGGTCATAGCAAAAGTGAGGAAGAGTGCAATGATTGCAGAGCTCTACGAAAGATAAAAGTATTAGCGAAGAACAAATCAAGAATCATGTGAGGCCCTCCTAGTGGATGATTATGATTTTGAATACCAATTATCAACCTAACTTTTGAACGAGCCCTAAAAATCTGCTTTGATACGAGAGGAAGGGCAGTACGAACCTTATATTATCAACTGTTGGGCTTGCGCGGCCTTTCGCTGTGATCTCAAGAAAGCGGTTTAAGGTTGAGACATAGCCATGTTTAGACGGAAGCATTTTTCATCAGCTTGCATCTTGAAATCTGTTTTAAAATGACTTCGGCATCAATTTTTCACAGACGGCCATGCACGCTCAGGAAAATCGGCACACGTATCTCGGCATAGCCATTCCGAGCGCTTTTAGCTATGTATTTGCGACAGGCGATCTCCGTCGTTGGATTAGAAGGGACGGCTCAGTCGAAACAGATGCACGGCACGGCACGCTTCGTCCGAGATAGAGGCTAAGCAGAGACTGAGTAATACAATAATTCTATGCAATTCTTTGCCGGTCGGCTGCAATGCCGTGCGCATATTCCAAACAAGTCTGTAGAGCCTCAGCGTTTAACCAACCAGCATCTACGGGATCTCTAACTCTCGTTTTTGGAAAGAACAATACAGTCTCCACTTATTCTTTTGTAGCCTCTGTGGTCAAATTTGCGCTTGGCTGATCGCTCGCATCTCAACCCGCTTTGCAACACCACCCACCTTACTTACGGCTGGGGATCTCTGGTCCGAAGATGTAGAATCTTTAGATGATAAAGTCGTGATATGAAGCACCTTGCTACGTTAGGTTAACAAAATTTCATCCATAGTATGGCATTACCTGTGCTACGAAGGAAAACGTCGGCTTTTCTGGTCGTCTTATGCCGGCTTCGGATCTACTAGAGTCTACGTGCACCACGTATGAAAGTCACAAGCTTATTCCTCGGCTAATGGCCCGACTATGATCTAACATTTAGAAGATAGGTCGTTCAAGTTGTTAAGCAAGCTGTAATTACAATTAGGTCTACTCAAGAGCCGCCATCTTAAGTTTGGAGACCAACATACGGCCCGAATCGGTTGGAAATGCAGCTATCCGCCATCGAATTTCTACTTCGGAAATCGCATTCCTAGAACAAACCAAATGCGGCTCGGCCTGCCGCCCGAATGTCAATATGGGGGCTCAACCTCTACTGGCCGAAGTAAGTGGTTTATTTGCCGAACCCCTCTTGTTGTTAATTTCGCCTAGAGCTTGCTGAACACTCCTGAGGAGACAATTGTTGGGACCAACAGCTAGAGTGATCATTAACTTATCTGGTGACTACTATGGATGTCCATCGCAAAGCAAGGAGTATGCTGGATTCCGGGTATGACTGGTCTGCGACTAAGCAATTTTTGACAAGTATGTCCTTTGACCAGGGTAGACTTCAACTCGATTGGCTCTAAACCTTCCGTGGTGAAGCGCCAACAATGCACGTCATGAGCTTAAAGCGACTTCGCTGATTTTGGAATACACAACCCTCGCGAGTATCTGCTAGACAGTGTTGGAACAGATGCTCGTGGGTCCGCACTTGTGAACATGAAAGTCACCCCACCTCGAGTGCTATAAAGTCATATAGACCGCTCCATGCTGGAGATATTATTCGACTTCAAGGTGCTTCATCTCTCTTCTAGCACCTTATTCCTTGGGTCTCCACAATCCCTCTAGGATAGATCACCCAACACCGTCATGCATTACAGATTGTGGAGGATATCAACATGCTTGATCTCGCTTTGGTATCAACAAGCTTGGACTAAACCTGTTCAAGAGCATGGGGAAGGCACCTTGGCTTCCCGATCCGATCAAACCTCTCCTGGTGTATATTGGTACTCTGAGGTAATCATTGGAACACAAAAGTTCAACTGCTGTGTGGATACCGGCTCTGCAGATCTGTGAGTCCACAATGCCAATGTCACCCCATCCAGACTAAGTGAAGGTGATTTGTCAGTTGGGTTCAGTCGTCCTCCGACAGATCAAACCCCAAACAGCATTCAACCTACACATGTGATCCCAAAACGTCGTCAAATGGCTGCAAACCCCTAGGCACATTCGACATCAGTTATGGTTCAAATCCGGATCCAACATGGTCATTTGGAGCGAAAGGAAACTTTGTACCAGATCGCGTGGAGGTCTCTGGCAATGTTGTCCCAACTATGGCTGTCGGCGTTGCCGATCAAGTAGGCTGGCCGCAATACTTCGAAATGGACGGATTTCTTGGTCTGAGCTGGCATTACGCCAACCAAGGTAAGCGTCAAGATGTGGCAGAATTCTCACCTGCCCACGCTGATTCTTGCAGATAAGCCAGTGCAAGCAACCTTCTCCGAAGCGATAAGGCCGAAGCTCCAATCGAAGATTTTTGCCATCGATTTTCCATCGAGCGTATACCCAGAAGGCGGTAAAGTCGACCTGACATTCGGATACATCAACTCTACGAAAGCCGCAGCTGGCTTGCGCACAGCATACATTGACCCTGTGAAGCCCAAGTGGACCGCTACCGGCGCTCAATTCAGTATCAGTGAAGACCAGGTCCGTGTAGTAGATAACAGTAGCAAGACCTGGACACAAAATATGAACTTCGGTATGTCCAAGTCACTTTCACAGCCCCATAGAGTCGCTTGCGAGGGAGGTATTGACAAGGCCTAAGATACAGGGGCTTGGCCTTTGGACGTCGGTACAGAGGTCATCCAGGCCTACCACAGTCGCGTCACAGGCTCGCAGGTCACGTCCAGAAAATCCAACGGCGAGCCTAAGAGCTACAATTTCCCCTGCAACAGTCCCCTGCCCGATCTAAATGTGTACTTTCAAGGCGGTGGTGCGGGCACCTGGTATGGGCGACAGCTGAGCAATAATGATCCGGATGCGAATGGTCGTGAGTTGCCCCCCATTCCCTAGCCATTCCATTGAAGATTACATACTTGGTGGTGGGACAGGCTGTTGACGTCCGTTGGTGTTGGCAGGTTGTACATCACGAATGATATCAGACAGTGATGACCCTACGGCGGGGAACGTTGGATACTTGTTCTTTCAGAATAACTATGTCGTTTTTGATATGGATGAGACGAAGCCGAGGATTCAGTTCGCGCCGTGGAATGGGACGGACGATAAGGTGTATTAGATAGAAGTTGAGAGATTGTAAGAGGTGGAGTCAACCCTTAATTGAAGTATCCTATGCGTGTTGCTGTTGCAGTCTTATGGCCCTTTCACATTAGTGCGAGTGTCAGCAAATCTTTTGAGGGTTCATCATTCCTTTTCGCCCCCCTTCGCGTCCACTTGGCTGCACTGGCCCTCTCCCAATCAGCTTGTGTGGTTACCTGAGTCTATCGCGCTTTCAGTCTCCATGTTGACTATCAGTAGCGGTGGCAATTTGAGGTTGGCGTCAAAGCTGAGCCACAAGGCTACAAAGATCGGAGGTCATGTGTTGAGTATGCATTTCTTACTTGGTGAACATCCTATTCTTTTATACAACCTATTTCATAAAAAAGCCTTACAAAGCGCAAAATGCAGCAGATTTTCTGCGAACCAGTCAAGCCCACATGACCCGATCTTGCATACATCCAAACATATGAACGACAGCAACAATTTCTGCCCTGTGGAGACCTCACTCGGATCAGGGGGCGAACCCATATGAGCTTCACGACCTAAGGCCGTGCACCGTGCCATTCTGCGCTGCAGCCACCTTACCCAAAGGCGGAGCGCTCTGAACCACAAAATTCAGCCCCTCTGCCGCCGTCCCATTATGCACGAAGCCCACCCCTATCGTCTGACCGCCAGTTGGTCCAAATGAGAAACTAGCTTCCAGCGTCCAAGCCACAGGTACGTCGTACGCCATGCCTCTAATCTGCGTAAGCACGTTCAGCAGCAGTTGCCTATCGATCTCCGTGTTAGGCTCCTGTGGGACGATTCTCAGGTGTACGCAACTATCTGGCCCGGTCCGATTCACCTGCGTGCAGTAGTCTGTCCAACGAGGATCAGAGGCGTTGTAGTTCCCTTGGAGGTTTGCTACAGCGGCCTGGAAATCGAAGGCTGTGTCGTGGTACAGGGAATAGCTGTTGATAGGCTTTTCACCCCATTGAACCGTGATGGTTGAGTGGGGATCGCCCACAAAAGAGTAGCTGCTTGTTGCTCCGGGGCTAGCGATGGGCGATTGGGCTTGAGGTATAGGTTCTTGAGCGAGGGTCAGAGAGGGGAGGAGGGCGCTGGTGAGGCAGACGGCAGTAGCGAGCAGCGAAGACATTGAAATGTAAGTCTGTTGTAGATGTAGAGATTGACTGGTCCTAAGGAGTGGCGAAGGTTGGGCAGCGTTCAGCTGCTGATGACAAGATGTTCTGAGTAGCCGACGAATGCTCGAGGAATCTCTTGTGTTGAGACTAATTTGTCAAAGCCGAGGGCTATTGTTTGGAAAGGTTTGTCGAAGCCTCTCGATCATCATCCACGAAATAGAACGGCGCTCCTGCTGAATATTGATTTCGTTGTAATGGTCGAATTCTCACTCTGAGCTGCCCGTTGGAAAAGTTCGACAGCAGATGCGAGTCTAAAGAACTTTCAAATGCCCACCAGCTGGTTTGACGAATTTGTCCTGGAAACATTTGCAATGCATAAGCGACCCGGGTGATCCAGTTGCGATGTTGGTTTTGGTCCCACGCATCATAAAATCGAAAGCTCTCCCTAAACAAGCAGCTTAGTCTCTGAGACAAAAGTCCGCCAAGAACTCGTTGGTGTTGGCAGCCTGGCAGCGAAGTTGTTGAATCCAATTAGAATGGCGAGATCACTGATTTTCTGTAGAACTGGTCAGAACATATCATCTCCTTTTACTCATGTAATACCACCTAGCAAAGATATTTGGATACTTGTAAGGTATAGGTGCCGAAAAGCACGCCAGATGGTGACTAGAGTCTAGATGGAGAAAACGGCGACATGACCTGGGTGGATGTGCAGTTTCACCGCTCTACACGACTCATCTGCGAGCAGCCCTACAGAGCCAGAATGGTACTGAATTCACATGAGTTTGTAATGACTCTTGTGTTCCCCTGCATTGCAAAATGACATTAGGCCCCTTCTTGGCCACCCCCTTACATCTTTTATCACCGTGGAGTCTCATTGCAATTGGTCTAGCTGAGTCGTGGAATATTGTTGTCGATGCTAGTAGCATAATTCTTGTCCACAGTAATCCTAACACACATATACATCTCTCCTGATTTTGGCCCGCTCGCTTATTAACGTCGTCTTAAATGAAGGGGAGACCTTGCTGAGTTCCATTCCTTCAACAGGAATGTTTCACAAATCTCTAGCCTCGAATAAAGATTGGCACAACTTGCTCCAGCATCTTTGATACTTGGCAACTAATACTCACTACCGACCTTATTTCTAGGAAGTGTACGATGTTTTTTAAGGCCATCGGCCGAAGGTATTAATGTAAAACTATTGGGGCCAACGCCGCGGATCTGAGCTCTGAGTGATCATTTATTAGGTTCTAGGACGATCCGCTATAGCGAAATGCTAGATCGATTCAATGGTAAATGACCCACGTCCACAAGTGTAGGACTTGCCGCAACAACCCATGAGCCGGTTGCAGAGGTTTCATCTATGTAGCCAGTGTATTGGGCAATGAAATCTCGATTAACGCGTGCGGCAGAATCGAAATAAAATGTGAAATCAATATTGTAGAGACCGCACGCCACTGGGACCACATAGTGTCGTCCATTAGCATAGGCGAAGCGACTCCTTAGGAACTGGGCCATTGGGTTTCCCTCGACATCGCGTATATCGATACAAACATGTCGATTTGCTGGACTCCAAAAGCCGGTCAGCTACCCAGAAGATTGGTGTTAGTCATCACTTCCGTTGCATAAAGTATATCAATTCAACGTACTCTCAGGATGTTGCCAGATGCCGCTTTAAATATCAACGTGGAGCCAGCTGGAGCATGGCTACAACTGGGGACGTTTCAAGGACTCGGACAGTCCGTTGAGTTGGACTTTTTGGAGATTGTGGTAGATATATTCGTCACAGGAGCTCCCGCGTCCAATTGCGCTGACGAGTCCGTTCGCTGAATGAACCATACCTCGTGTTCAAAAGAGCTTCCAACATGTCCAGTCAGAGCAAGCCAAAACTCTATAGCTTGCATCTGAGGACTTTGAAACCAGAACTCTACAGCAAGATCGATTTCTCCAGATACGACCGAAAGCAAATAGTGCTTTTCTTGATGGTACCCGAAGTTGAGGTCGTAGAATTGAGCAATCAGGTGATCTGTGGCGTTCAGAATGTCCACGCAGATATGCTTTCTCCGACCGGAGCTCCAGTAGCCCGTCATCTATGCGACACATGAGTGTTAATACGCGAATTTCTGACGCAAAAAGAGTGGGAGTACGCACTTTTAGCTGGCCCTGAGCACGGGTCTCTGATATCGCGGTGGAGACAATGGTGCCAGGGCCGCTGGGTATTAAAATTATGGAATCTGTGCTTGACTAGGTTGGAAGGGTGCTATTGAGCTCTGTCAACACATCCCGATGTGAAAGCGGTGTAGTTGCTGCGTGAGCGAGGGATGTGGCGCTCGGAAGCAGGAGAAAAAAAGCCAAGCGAATGAAGATCACGACGCCTTTGCAACAATACATGGCTCTTGCACTTCTACTGATTAGGTGTAGGAATGCTATGGTGATGTGGCAGGATCTAGGAGTTGTATCCTAGATGTATGTTCTGTATCTCTCAACACGGACGTAATTATTCTCATTGTCCAAAGGCTTGTCCTTTTGACCAGCGCGCACAAATCGTTGTTGGTCCAGACGGGATACTTCTTTAGGCGTCTTTAAACTTATGGTGCTGTCTCGAGAAGCTAACGGCATTGTGTGCACTTGGATGGCTGTTCACACGGGCGCGTTGGTTGGTATGTGAGACAAATTGCAAGGTGAAGCGCCTAATTGATCACATCGCATACGAGTTTCCTATAACGTGGAAGCAAAAGAACTCGCTCGTTAAACCATCTATTACACTCTAGGTAGGCCTCACTGCGCTTTTGTAAGCATTGAATTGCCATGCTTTGCATGTCTAGCTCTATTGTTTTCTCGCCTTCCTATGTCATCAACGCAAGCGACTACTTGGGAACATCAAACCTTTAGCCTTTCCAAATTTCCATGATACAGACACTGAATGAGTAGATGACTTGGAACAAGGATGTGCATAGAAAGGAAAGCGTTTGATGATCTTAGGGCTTCGTATGATAATAGAGGCGTGATGGTTTCTCCAACGTGAAAAGCCTCTGGAATCATTCTAGATTTTTACGCACTGGAATCTATTGGTAAACAGTAACCAAGCTCCCTATGATAAGGGCAATGTCTTGATCAACTATAATGTTATACACGGGCGGAATATAAAGGCCAACGCGACTTTCGAGCAAGGCGTACGTAAGTAGCGGGGCCAGCAAGTTGGCCTCGGTAAGCTCTGTTTTCAGACACCGGCATTTTATGATGTGATTTTGTGTTGAATGGGAGCTCGACGATCGCCAGATGTAATTTCAAATCCGTAACGTGGCCGCAGAAGAAGCAGCCAATCTTGTTCTTCAAGACCCGTCTTTGCACGTCCAGAGTAAGCTCAATCGTGATATTTACACATTAGATGCTTTAGATCTGATAGACGCTTCTTTGTGCCTGCTGTCAGGCGCAGACTGATGTAATATAGCCAGAAAAGACAACAGTTTGGACCATTTGATTAGCCCAAGTCCTTTACTTGCACTTTTTCCTATTTCACAAGATAGACACAGTATTCTTACTACGATAATGCTATACTATCTGCATCTGTTACATTCGACGCGACGCCAGGATAAAACCGACTAATGCTGAGGAACCCAACCTCAATCAACTCAAAGAAATCTGCTTTGTAGACCACGTTGCCATCCAAGGCGAAATCTTTTTCTTTTGCGTCGTAAAAATTTCCCACCGCCACCACGAGCAATTTCAAATCTTCAAAAGTGAATGCTGGGAATGGACTCTCCCGATTTTTCCCAATGTCCAGGTTCAGCGCGACTTTTTGAAATTTTTGGTCTTCAACAAAAGGATTAGGGACCGGCGCTGATGGTTCGTGCTGAGCACGTCGGTCTAAGTCGTTAGAAGCTCTAGCCAGCACGACGTCGACGGCAGGTTTGGGAAGTGTCAAGGCCGTATTGAATTGACCATAGAAATCCAACTTGCCAGTTCCTTGGATGTGGGCTTTGATGACTCCGGCAACCTGCGCTGAGTCAGATGCATTCGCATTGCTCATTGACCTATTGACTTGTTTAAATGGGATATCTAGACGCCAGTAGATAGCAGCCTACTCAATTGCGAGTGTACTGTTCGTCGGGAGACCTGTGACCACCAGCGCACACGCAAGCGCAAAGAATGCATTCCATCGAAACGGCGTCCACATTGTAGAGAATGGAAAGAGATTCTCTAAAGAAAGATCTCTCTATGGCATCTCAAGTATTGAAAGTAGAGACGAGCTCAATAAAGATATAACCTGCTACCTTAAGCTACATCGCTCATGCGCAAAGGTATTGGTTCTGTTTTTTGGTGGACCGGCTGTTGAAATGTTGGAGGTTTTACATCTAAGACATTCTTGACTTGGCTGCGCCACGAAGACACCAAGAACACAAGCGGAATATCTAGACTTTATTGACTATTTTGGTTGTCAAATCTTCGTCGCTTTGAGATCTCAGGCACTCTATGATTTAATCATGTCTTGCCCTTCAGCCGTCTTTTTCCAACGAAGATACAAAAGTCAAGAATGTTCCAAGAGCCATCGAGAAACCTTCAGCGACTGAAATGAAAGTGCGCCTTCTGCTTGGGTTTCCTCAGCTACTCTGAACTGTCCCAGACGAACCTTGTAGTCCCGCAGGCCTTGCGGTCTTATTCCATACCACCTCCTCCACGGATCCACTGTATCCTATAAGTCCAAAACTCTCCTCGATTATAGCGGGGACATCGCCCACTAGAGCATAGAAAATGACACCAGGAACGACCGCACGCCTAGGAAACAGAAAAGCATTCTATAGAGCGGTAGATCGTCAGTGCATCAAATATCAAGACCGTGACGGAACGGAGGTAGAGCAACTCACCGTATACACATTCTGCGCGAAAATCATCATGTACTCCAGATCATACCAACATAGCGGCCTGGGCGCCTTCCCTACCCCTGCTATTCCTTCAAACACGCGATGCATATAGACTAAATCACTCCCATCTTCCCCAGCGCTGACACTCGCACCCGAAGTATCATCTGAAGTATCATTATAAGAGTACTGCCACATGCCATTGGGGACCTCGTCCCAGTCCCCGCTGTCTCCGCGAGCAGCATACATCGCCGCCTTCGCGTGGTCGATGAATTTCAGGACTGTAAGGGGCTTCCAGAGTTTCCGCACTTGATCATCCCAGACACCGTTGCATTCGGAGGTTTTGGTGTGCGCCCAGGTTGCGTTGCTTGTGTTGGGACTGGGCGGGTTGGTGAGTGTAGTGTTCGACGAAATGGTGGTGGAGGGGAGAGCGGAGGAGAGGACATGTGAAAGGAGGAGGGATAGTGGTAGGATAATCGTTGATAGAGAGCGCATTTTAAATAGCTGGCGATGGTGGCAATATGGTGACCTTCTTCGTGAAAGAAAACGCGGATTATGAAGAAGATTCGGCGCGTCGAGAAGCACGACACGTGGATATTTTCGAGAAGATGGACGACCTTTGTATGCATGGCCGTGCCTTGGCACGCAGATACATCGCGTCCGTGGTTGGGCGTGGCGTTGTTGTCTGAGATCACGACCTTGCGGCTATATAAGCACTACCTGCTCCAACGTTGTGCGATTATCCCAGAACATCAGACAGTAACTCCATCTTGAATTATGCGAGGTGCCTTGACGCGCATGTTGGATAAAGAGGATGGTGCACAGAGAGTCTCTTGCATAACGATTGTAAGGCTTGAAGCTCTTTCTTGAATATGGGCGTTCTTGAGTATCTTGAAGGCGCTCTGTATAGACTAGCAAGTTCAGAGCAAGAAGAAGATAGCGTTTTAAATACAGCCTATTTATAGACTACTATTCAGGGGCGAATGTTCACGCCTGTACTTTGTTGTCAGCGGGTTAGCAGGTCGTAAAGGCTGCTTTTAGAGTAATTTGTTGTTACTTGTAATTGTTAGAGGGTTTGACGTTTAGGGTGGTAGCTACTTAGAATTGTTTAGACAGTGTCTAGCACCAACATGCTCAGTGTGATTGCAAGGTAACCGTTCGCATCCATCATTATGTTGGAGAAGAAATGCGCGCGACGGTCGGACGAGAGAGAAGTAGTGCCAAGGGTTGACTATGGATACAAGCTTCATCCACATTCACTACTCAATCAGCAGAGATGGTTTACCTTCTCACGCCGGTACATCCGCAGTTGCAGTCTCTTTAAGCCCCTTCGTATCCTAGCCTAGCACATTGTTGTCGAATGCTTCCTATACTTTGTCCCGTCCCATGTTAACAAGACGTTCATATGCTGCAAGAATTACCACATTCCGCATTCATAGGAAGTGATGCCAAGGATCGATAGTCCGAGCATGAACTATTGAGGTTCAAAACTGGTGCTTGTAAGGCCTTAGAGGGGGATGGGGAAAGAGTAGCTTAGGAGCGAAAAGGGCTGATTACAAGTTCTCCTTCGCCGTCATTAAGGGGCGCGACGATGACATAGCTTCCATAGGGTATTTGAGCCTTTGAATTACTTTTAAAATATTCTTCCACGATTGGAGGACACTGGAGCACATGGAACTCGGCAAGGATTGAATCTTTCGTAGCTGAATTAAAGTCATCCATAATGCGCTATCATCAAGACAGCGACAAGCCGTTGGGTGAGGAAGGCCGAACTCGCAACTTCAATTTTCTCAGAAAATTGCTAATGTCGCCGTCATGCCTTACTATGAGAATGATAGAATGATAGTATAGAGTGTATGATATCAGGCGCGAAACTAGGCAATGCTCACACAAGCGGCTTGTCTAACCTTAATATCCAACCTCTACAGGTCAGCCAGTGGTCGACATATATGCGGCTATTTGAACCCTAATGTTCTCCGCGATTCGACGCAGGATGTCAGAATCGGAGAAATGATTAAGTGATCAAGTGATTAGGTTGGGAACTGCGCCGCCATCACATCGTCATAGTGGACGGGATTAAGCCATAGTGTTTTGAGCTTGATCACGAGCCATTGATCTCAGCATGTGCAGCATCAGAACTGGCCCCTAAGAAAATAACTTTTCTTTACGACCAACACCAGCAACATCCACGACAGAGCCCAAGCTGGCACGGATTTCTCTCATCGAGCGAGATGAAGATCTACTCAGGCAATCATCATTGATTTTTTTTTTGTTATTAGGCCACTTTGCGTTCGACAGGTAGTGCTGAAAGAACAGCCATCCTCCACGGAGAAGCTTCTATTGAAAACTTACTTTTGAAGCAACCTTATTTTCTTGACTAGGGTCCCAGGTGGCATTAGATGGGATTGACTCATTCGCAATATCCATATGTCATCTTATCGGCTCTGGTCTTGAAAGTCAAACAATTCCAAGGGCACTCGCCCTTGGATGTTGAGCCGTGGGCCGCATCTCTGTCGTCCCGCGAACCCCGGCAAGCCTCGTCGAATACGTTCAGTTCGCAGCAGCAGGCGAGAGGCTTGTTAGTAGTGAGAGTCTTCGGATGGATAATATATGCTGGTGAAAAAGTATCGGTACAGGGTCTGACCCTGCGACACGAATGCTGTTCTTTGTGCATAATTCGGCCATCTTATGCATCATGTTGTTGGCAAGCCGTGGATTCACATAGTCAAAGTTATATGCCGATTCATAAACCTTGAAGTGAATCCCTTAGGCGCTTCGGAGATCCTTAGCTTTCAATTCTATCTTATCAACCGCCCGTTAGGGCACAGGCTATCGTTTGCCCAGGGCTATAAAGTCAATCACTTCTGCCCTATTGCACATATCTAGACACATGTTTAGCTAGAGGAGCAATGTTAGAGGCTCTTTATCCCCAGCGTGCGTTTGGGTTGTCGAGCTCGCAATATACTAACCTTCCTCGCTCGTAGCGAATGATATCAGGTCAGCGCACCCCACGTTTCACTTCATATATATCGACTAAGGTTTGAAAGCGGTAGGGGCCAAGAACACGAAGCTGAAGCACAGATAGTTTCGATCGTAGCCGCGCAAACCGCAAAGCTTCCCCTATACATAAAACTTGCTCTGAGGTGTGGGACGGCCGAGGTGATTCCGCGCACATAGTTTTGTTCTCGACCTTAACGTATATCCTTAGATATATATGATTATACCCAAGAGGGTTTAGTCTGATCAATACATGACGATATCTGGGCAATATTGCGTCCCTAACGTAGAGAATGGTTAACCTCGCCAGTGTGTCCGCATAGAATGACCCACGATCTTGAAACAGGGTAGAGTTGGATCATTGAGCACCTCTCCAGACATTATGCTAAGGACATTGTCAAGGCCTAAGTTAGAATCCTGAGATTCGTTCGTCACCATTGTCTCCATACCACTCAATGTTACCTACACGTGAAATCTCAACCTGTCTCGTCCCTCCTGATATTAAGATAAAAGATTGCAGACAACAAGCGAAGGCACTAAGCGAAGATGTGAGTGGCATTCTGTCAACTCAGCCCTCTTCTTCAAGTGACATACCACCGATCCTATCGTCCGATTCGATCATCGCTTTACAGGCGAGTCAGACAGGCAGGTCGCCGCAGTCCTCCAGCCAGTGAAGATCCCTTATCTTAGCCTCTAAATCCTCACTAACACTTGCTGCATGGGGCCAGTGCTGCTGCTTGACAGAAAATCTGCCATGCGCCTAAAGCTGGGAGGTTTGGCAACCCCTTTCCGCAAATGCTTGACTAAAGCGACTTGCGCTGCTATAGGCAGGACAGAGCTTAGTCACAGCGTCGTGCGATACATGTACCGGCGTCCCTGGTCTGGCCTACGGTAAACCCGCGGGGAAGGAGTGTGGTGCAAGTGGGTAGCGATGCTGCTCTTCGAATGTCTAGGGCGAAATGGCGTTGTTTGTGGATTGATATCGATTGGTGCGCTAGGGATGGATGCTGCAGCTTTGTAGTAGAGTGGCGATAGGAAGTAGTGCTAGGGCATGAATGAGTGCATATTGATATGAAAGAATGTAAGGCAGGGTGGATACGACACTGCTTTCAAGTACTCATAAAGGTAAGAATGCAAGTTTATTGATGTCAGCTCGAATATTAATGTGCAGTCTTGCTGTTCTTCAACAGAGCTCATAACAGTGCTCATGAGAGTCGGAAATTTTTAGCCTCGCAGATGGTAAGTCGATGCCTATCTTGAGAATTAGATACTAATGATAGCCTTGCTACAAGCCACCACATCCATTCTACGGTAAGCCTTCTCTTTCCGCCATTTCCCCCAGCCCGGTCAGCAAGTCTTCGCCGCAACCGGGGGGCGATGCGACAGCGCGTATCCGTCCTTTACTCCACACCACCGATACGCCAATCAACAAGCCAAAACGACTCACGACCCCAACATTTCCGCCTCAATAAGACTCTCAATACCCTGATCACACGTCCAAATCCCCATGACCCTCAACCCAGCCTCCTTCAGCAGCTGTCTCCACTGCGCCTCCGTTCGCTTCTTCACAGCGCACAACGCCATCATCAGCAAGTCCATGGATGTGACCGAGGGCGAAGCACCCTCGTCAGGGACGACATAGTCATTAACATGGATCTTCGAGCCTGGTCTCATAGCTGGAATCAGATTCCGGCAGGATCGTAAGACATGAGGCGTCGTCCCAGTTGTGGAGGACGGAGTGCAGGATAATATGCTCTTGCAACCTAGTCCACGGAATGGAATGGTTTCAGCAAGCATTCCTTTCGGCTGGCTGATTGTTCGCATATTTAAATATCTTACCTTATACAAGTCGTGCTGTGAAGAAATCGTGCGCCATTGCCTCGAATATCGCTTGGTCCTCCATGACTTGTTTGATCACATCGGGGGCAAATCCTGCAGGACAAGCTTTCCTGAAAGCGTCGGATGCTTCGACTTCAGCTCTTCGAGATCATGACCAAAGCCACCTCCTACGTCCACGATTGCGATCGACGATGGATTGGACTCGGCGTTCAAGCGCGTCTCTACCGGGTAAAAATCCGCATCACACCAGCTCTTTTTGCCCTGCCGATATCCATTCATGTAGTTATTGAATTGTCGCGCTCGCTCCGGATTCTCTTTAAGCCAGCCGAAGAGTGGCTTCTGCGTGTTATGCCCAAGTTGGAATGGTCCGTCTGCAATGTTGTTTGGGTGCTCGAAGTTGATCTGCGCTAAGTACTGAGGAATACTGTGGATTGCGGGCGCTGCGACGGCGAGGCTTGAAGAGGGGAATTGTAAGCGTTTGAGTCATAGGGTCGTACGGACTGGTATATTGCTCACTTGAAGTGTATACCATCGCGGTACTTGGGCTCCACTAATGCGCTACTGAATGCGGTGGCTGAATACTGGTTTGCGCCGTTCTCGGCAATCACGCCTGTTGCGGCAAGATGCTTCAGTATTCGAGCTGGTCAAGCGGTAAGCATCAGGATGGTCTTACAACACTACGAGGGTTCCGTCAAAGCGAACCACATACATAGAAGCGTGGCATCTTTGCCTGTCTGTTCCACAATTTGTGAAAGACTGACAGAAGTAGTTGCGTTCTCGGCCAGGATTCCGAAAACGTTGAGGTCAATGGCGATCTGTATACAGACGAATCTTGTGGGCTAATATTGGTTAGGACAGTGCTTCATAGAGGGCGGTGTACGAGGAAACCAGGAAGACGAACTTCCGTCCAGCCCATTCTCTGGATCGTCTCACTTGGATCTCTACTGAATATTTTAATTGCTCTGACAACGCCAATAACTTTTCTCGTGCTCCATGTTTGGTTTTGAGCAAGTCTTGCGACGTGGCAACAATCTCATCTGCGATATCGATAAACACATCTTTTTCTTTATGTGCTGGCGAAGTCATGGTGGAGTTGCGAAGTAGATTCCTTGTGTGGTGCCAACAAATAAGACAATCACGGGCTGGGAGAGATGTCAAGGATGATCAATTTCCACAAGCCAAGGACAGATGTATCGAGTAGAGATTGTCTTTCTCAAGGCTACTTGGTTGTGTAGCGGTCGAGTCTCTCCATCAAGTCTATTCTGTATTTTCTGCCCCACGATCGGTGGATTTTTCCCTTTCCATGGAGACTCAAGGTACGTGATTCTTCACAAATGCTTGGAATAGCTTGGTGATGTTGTCTTAGTGAAAGAAGCGAGTTGCGCAGTCCTGCCGAACCATTGGGTTATGTCCAAGGATTTCGCTGCTATGGGGACGTCTTACCAATTCTCGAGCTCCGCCTTGTTAAAATAGCCCAAGCGTGCATTAATTGCTGCCGATCACGCCGGCGACCTTCTCAATCTGGCATGTTCCTACCTGCAGAACTGCTAAGGTGCATAACCGCGTCGATCACTGCTCCGATCGGTCGATTTCACGCATGTTGCTCTCGATCGCGGTCTGACCTCGCTGTCTTAAACTTTCTATCGTAGGAAGAGGCTCGATTTTCGGGTTCGCTCGGGCTTTCAGCATGCCAATCAGTGTGGAAGCCAAAGCAGATCCGACATGCACAGTCTTGGGGCGGTGAATGCTCACATTCAGGGTCTCTTAATTCTGGGTGCGGTATCAATCTATCCGGCAACCGTGTTTTTCTCTCTCAAATCTTGATCATGACCTTAACGATGGCCGTACTTGCCAGTACGAAGAGGATATCGACTGACATGCTCAATCTGGCATGACAGTTTTTACGCTCCAATATACCTTTACCGCGATCTTTCCCGATATGACACGGTCGTTTCCCAGACATTCAGCTTTTTCACGATGCTATAAGGATCATTTAGCGAGTTGCCGCTCGCCATCAATACCCGAAGAATCTTAATGAATGAATACCCGGTGTGGTAGCACACGAAGAGTAAGGTGCTTGATGTACTGGACGTCTCTTTGGTAGATTTCTCTTTGTAGGGAGATGCCTGCACGAAAGAAATGCCTCGCAAGATTATTGGGATAGTGTGAGGGACGTGAACGCAGCTCACTCTGTCTACAAGATCGCACATCTCCAAGAATCTGGATGAAGTAGCGCTCGTGCAGCGCCCAAAAACCTATACCATGGTACAAGTTATTTAACCTACACCCTGGTATAGGTTATTTTCTAGTCTGCGAATGTGTGTGTTGCTGAACCACCTAGCAAGGGCAGCGTCAAAAAAGAAGAACCCGATGATTCGATTAAATGCAGCCCGCAGCTTTCGATACTTCGTCGCGATCTTCCATGATGCCCATATTTGAAACTCCCCAAAACACTCCAGCTCTTCTAAATCGCAGTACGCACCTCTCTCGCAACTCTAGCAGCAGCCTTCCTACTAACTCACTAGCACCAACAACCCTCCTTTACCATCTTATTCACATCAAAAGACATAACATCTGCATTAGACGTTGGTCCCCTTACCTACCACCGCACCTCCCCGTTCGCCCACATGAACTTTACGATTCCGATGTCCTGCTGTACGAGATCTCTAGCACCTAAGCGCCTGGTCTTCGCACATATCGCAGCGAAGACCAAAAGGGGGCTAATTGTCTAGGTAAGAAGAGGTGCCTAGTCGATCGTTTAGAACCTCTCCCGTCGTTATTACGTAGATTTCACCCGACATGATAGGATTGCGGTGCAGAGACAAGACGACCCTTTGCGAGATCGGGACGACGGAGCGTCGATTGTGGTTGAGGTCGCTTGGCATGATGATAGAGGTCCTAGATGTATGTGACCTTTTCGGTATCTAAAATCAATGTTGAGCAATTCATCAAGAGGGCTCAACTTCGGAACGTCATTTCCCATCGTAACCGGAAAATCTTGCATAGTTGACATGTACTCAAATAGTGCAATCTAGTTGCAAGTGTAGGCATTAATAAACCGCCTTGGATAGTGTCCTGTGCCTGCTTGCTCTTTTAGGTGCGCTCATGACTACGTCCCGTTGGGATGTTGAAGGTAACAGCACCATGTGTCACGAGAGTACCGATGTTGCCGCAGAATCTACACTCACGTGCGTAGAAGCTTTAGGAGATGGCCATGGTACCGCCTATAAATGCAGCGGCAGGCATTTGTTGTATCTAGACACATGCGCTCGCCTAAAAAACAAGTAATACCTAGGTATGGGTTAATCTTTATAAATAATTAGATGTCACGGTCGTTACCCTTCAGCGAGTATTTCTTCTTCCAAAGCCGTATGTGACGGACGATGTGTTCAAGGAGATGCTCTAGGTCCACAGAATGTTCATGAACGACTTTTCGGTCTGCTCATCCTCCTTCAGTGGCGAACCGTAGCGATTGTCATGCACGATCATACCCTTCTTGCAAGTGTATAGTGGAACAAGCATCTTGTTCGGTATGGACCATGTACATGCACAGCGTGGCCGCATTTCGTCTCAGTGTCTTTGCTCTTCAAACATTCGCCTCCGCCTGGCGTGCTCTTGCTCCTGCCTTCGTCTGTTCATATTCCTCGCTCTCATTTGCTTACTGTATCATCGTCTTCATTGGTCACTGTGGCACTTTTGCACTTGTTGGGGAAAGGCCTGGGCACAGAAGAGCCTGGAGAGGGGGGAGGAGAACTCAGTGAAAGACTTTTTGCTACCATCAGCCGACAGAGGGTATTTCTAGATATTAAAAAGCTATTCTCAAAAGATTACTCTCTAGTATCAAGGTCTAAGGAGTACTCACCCACTTCTTGCATTGAGTGCCTTTCGAGAACGCTAGATATGCGAAACATCTGTTGCATGGGCGGATCTGCTGTCCCGCGTCGCATACAAATCCGCAAATCTAAATCATCCCCGTCCCGTGTCAATCGTAACATCTAGAGGAGAATTAGGGTCGAACAAGCTTTCAAATCACTCAGCCTTGTTTCGAGGCTCTTAAGCGCCAAGTAAGGAGGAGGTCAATCGGCCGACAGCTGCAAATGACCAGTCCGGCTTACATTCTCCGACCCTGCTGGACTATGCACGCGTTTAGCCTTTTTCTACCTGCTCGTACAGCTTCGAGTTCTAGGTTCCCGCCTTCATGGAGATGTTGGTTGAGACGAGCACAACGAGCGGCATGGGTGCCTTCCCTGGTCCTGTATAGCATATTGGGTCAAATGCCTTACAGATCCACTAGCCTCACCTCGAGATGTGAAACGGAAATTCGAAATTCACGGATAATTTATCGCCATCCCGAAGACTAGGACCATGCAGCAACTTTTGAGGCCGAAAGGTTCTGCTTAAGTAATTATCTTGGGAAGGAATGTTCCTCTTCACTCTCCAGGCGCGTACTCACGACGAAGACCTGAATCGTCACTGAAATGAAGTTGTTGTCAGGCAATCATGAGATCAAATGCATTTTCTACTCCAACGATATTACATCCTTCCAATATGCATCTTCCTTCTAGTGATCGCGATGAAAGATCGGCACCACTCACATCAAGATGGGATCGACGTCGATGTTTCTTCCAAACCTAAAATGTCAGAGAGGCGGACCATGCGTTACCGGATGCGCTTTTCGAGAGACTCTGTTGTTGCTCGAAGATCAAAGAGCGCTGTTCGAGATCATGGTCCAGGGAGTCGTGCAAAAAGAGCACTAAAGGCCGATACGAGCGATGATACGGGTAGTCTCGCGGAATAGCTCGAAGCCTTTGCTGAAGCATTGGCTATCGCTGAAGCATACCAATCCAACAGCAATGTGTGTATATCAGGGTTCAGCACCCTTTGGTGTCCACCTAATGGGACCGCCAGCATACCAACATCGACGTCTTTATCCAGCCTCTCATGGAATTCATCCTCAACAAGCGCTGCTTTAGCCGTACAATCTCCATCATATGCCTCAACTTTACCATCAATGACGCCACCTCCAACCTCAGGCAGTTCTGCATCTCCATCTTCGTCCAGCCAGGGTGCCCAGTACGAAGTTCGAACATTGTCGCAAATAAGAGGGGCGGCCAACTCATACTCGTCAATTTCGACGAATGGTAAGAAGAAAAACTTGGAGCTACATCCATAAGTCTGGCTAACACGGCTCCAGGTCGAGATGGAAAACCAACAGAGCTGCCAATCTGGTTCGAAGCAGCGGGTATCGTACTGATTTCCGTACTGATTGCAGGACAAGCGGTCGGAGTGCCTCCGGCACCAGCTGGATTGACTCCTCTAGTTGCAGCTGAAGAAGGGGGCTTTGAAACCATGGGGGAGGCTGAAGAGGGCGTGCGTGAAGGCAAAGGAGAGCATGATCCTTCTCCGGATAGCTCATCGAAAGTCCTACCAAGCGCAACGGTGACTTCCATCGACCAAAATGCCAGCCACGCTAATTCGAGCCTCACCGCGGCAACAGAGCGCAGCAGCAGCGACTCCTCAGCGCCCGAAACGAACGTTTGGACACCTTCATCGACAACAAGTCCAAACTTGACATCAAGCCGATCCAGTGCGACGAGCATCGCAAGCACCGCCTCCACCTCCACCGGCCCCGTTCGAATGATCTTCCCCAAAGACGGCAACGATCCCAACAACGATCCTCTTACCAAAGAGCTAGTTGCCGCATTTGGCCCCGACTCAACGCCCGTCAACGATCCCTTTTCCAGGATTCTCATGTGGTACGCGCCGTTGCGCAACGAGCAGGTTGCCATATATCAGGCGAATCCACTGGTATGTGAGCCTTTTTTCACAAGGACGCGTGTTGTCCAGTACTGACGCGACGGCAGGTCAGCATGGTAGCCACCGACACGTTGATTGACAGCGATCTGAACACCGATCCCTGCAGCCTTGCGTGCGGGCGCAAGGGCGCCGAAAAAGAAAGCGAAAGCGAACAGGTGTGCAGATCGGCGCCATCGCCCAAGTCCCCTCATATTCCATCTCCGACCCCTTCGCGCCCGCGGACTTGGTGCACCTCTCCATGCCCGCCAGCGTAGCTTCGCCCTCCTATCTCCCGCAACAAGCCTACGTCTTCGACGAGTCGGCGGGACGGAGCGTGACGGTGTTCATCTGGGACACGGGCGCGAATCCGAACGGGCGGGAATATACGGATAACACGGGGAGCAAGCCGTGGATTCTGTTGCCGATTCCTCCGTTTGATCCAGGTTGGAGACCGTGGTCGGCGAATGTGGCGGACAATATGGATGATGATTTTGAGAATCCGCATGGGGGGGGGGACGATGATGTTTTCGAAGGCGGTCGAGGGACAGTTTGGCGTTGCGAGAGGTGCTAATGCGGTGGTTGTGAGGGATCCTTTTAATAGTTGGACGGGACCATCGGCGGGGACGTTCTCGACGTGGTATAGAGGGCTGGGTATCACCGTGGAATATATGTGGGCGAATGGGTTGCTTTATTCGGGGAAGGTCGTCGTCAATCTGTCGTGGGGGACTAGGATTTCTCTTGATCCTATGGATCCTTTGTTGGGCAAGATAAGGGACTATATGGACAAGATGGCGGAGACTTATGGGGTGGTTTTTGTGGCGGCGGCAGGCAATTCTGCTTGCACAACAACAAATCAGGATGGTGGTGTGCCGGCCAATAAGCATGTTAATGGTGTGCCTGCCTTGTGGGGAGGGTTGGGCTATCTGATCATTGTTACGGGCGCGGCTGATGCTCAGGGATATCAGTCGGAGGAATCACAGGGTGAAGGTAAAGAGGTCACTATTTACTTCGCGGGCCCTGCCAGTCGTTGTGGATGGGTCCAGGAGACAAGACGGGGTTGGGTCAACAAGAATCATGAAAGTAAGCGGTACGTCCCTTGCCAATGCAGGACTATCAGGTCTCATTGCGTACTTCATGGCTTGGCCTGATACTGCAGAGTTGATTGACAATAGGTCCTTGTCGGAGCGGCATGATCGGGTGGTCTCCGTGTTGCAGACGTATGGCTACAAGAAAGCCAAGGTTGCAAGACTGCGAGGTGATGGTGAAACCTACGATGTCCCAGCGGATCTTGTTGCATGGAATGGTCAAGAGTGGATAAGGTGGGAGGACTGCTTAAGGAAGCGTGGTGTCAACTCGACGGATTTCCAAGGGCAATGTGTATCCGGCGGCAATAGCACGATCAGTCCCTTACCGCTCACCTCTACAGCCACCAATTCACAGACATCGACTTCTGTGTCATCTTTTTTCCCTCCATACAAGACACCTCGACTTCTTCATCCCCATCTCCCTCAATTTCAGCTCAACCTCCAACACCGGTAGCGCTCTCAAGTCCAGCAAGTCCATCGCCACCCGGTCCACCCGCACAGACTGCATCCATATCCGGCGAGCCACCCACAATCTACCAAACCAAATACGACCTCTTCGGATCCCCCCAATGTCAACTCCTCACAGACAAATCGAGTCCCTGCTGGGCCGCATTCAGCCTGTACGAAGACACGCGAGTGTACAGCGCGTATGCGGCATTAGCACATCAGGAAAAAGGCGCTGCTGCGGGCTGTGCGGCGTCTTTTCGATGTGCGGATCCGGAGCCGTATACGAATACCATGACAGGCGCGCAGATTAAGGCTGCTCTTGAGTTTCTTTTTGGTGGGGATGGAGCGAGGGATTGTGGCACGAGCTATCTAAGTAATAGGTGTTATGTGCAGGCGGATAGATGTACGGATTGTGAGACTATTAGATCGCTAGGGGGAGTGGGATTAATTATTAGGCTTGGTGTTCTGGATGTGGGCTGAGTACTCTGTTCCCTTCAGAGATGGGGTTGGTGCCCTTCGACAGCAATTCGCCGCCTTTTTTTCATCCTATGTCCTTATTCAATTTGCTTTCTGCCCGTCTCTGACCTCTTCTTCGAAAGAATTTATGTGAGTTTGTGATTGATGACAAATCTCACTCATTTGGTACGGTCAACACATCGGGATCGCCATATGTTACGCGTGCGTGCTTGTTTGACAATCCCTTCAGCTGGACTCCGCGATACCAGAGTGACACCCACACCCCCCTCGTCGTCCACTCTTGCGCCCCTTACGACCCGACTCCTTATATCAACACCAACTCGGCAACTTCTGGCAGCAGAGCAGCCGATGCCATGCAACAACCGGCTTCCATTCCCCTTGCGCCTCAATCTCCCGCCATCATGCTCACGAGATGATATCTAGATGCAGAAGATACCACAGCCGAAATGCTATCACAAAAATCCTAGCTCAAGCGCTCAAAGTACCATCATCCTCTCTCAACCTTTCACCCCATGTCCCCACCACCCCCACCCCTTCTCCCTCCCCCGTAACATCAACGATCAACTGATGATTATCCCCCACACTCTCCCTCCCACCTACGCCTCCCTTCCCCTCAATACACTCCACGGCTACATCCCTCACCGCCTGGCCAATCTCCTCCCAAGTCGCCGTATCCCCGTACGGTCGCCCATCAGGAAAGATCTCCAAATAGCAGGATTGGTGATTCGTTCCGAAAGGGAGCTTGACGTCGGACTCAAGGGCTATGATGGAGGAAAAATGGCGGGGAACTTGCGCGCCGGTTTGGTTTTGCAGGATTTCCCCGAGCGTGGTGCAGTCGGTGGCGGAGGGGTCAGCGTGGGAGGGGAGTTCGGTCTTTTGGTAGCAGAGGAGGGCGAGGGCTGGGGTGGAGCGGAGGAGGGAGAGGAGGAGTAGTTGGGTTGAGAACTGGGAGGTGTATTTTTCATATCGCATCATTGTAGCTTCGTGAAATGGAAATGTTGATGCTAGGTGGTAGATGGGTAGGATTCGGTAGTCGCTTAGAGCCGCAAGTGTCTGTACCGATATGCGCAATATCTTCTCTTGAACACTTGCGGCTATCGTGTAAGTCAAAACGTCAAGCCCGCTGCGCGTGATGTTGGTCCTCTAAATGTGTCTCGTGTTATAGTGCACTGTATTTCAACGTCATTGCCATTCCATAGGCGAATTAACTTAGGATGCGAAGGCCGAAAATCTGAATCTATGAATGATCTAATACCGTTCATGTTATGTTCAGGTGACAGGCTGAGCTTCTGGCAACGAGTCTGCGCTTTTCTCTCAGTACTCATCACAATACCCAAGGCTTATGGGGCAGCAATTTCAACGAGTTTTGGCTTTCCTATTCACGACGCACTAGATGGAATAAAAACCGAATGCGAAGCGTTGTAGAAGAACAGAGCTAGTAGCGCAAAGTCTGCCTAGTAATCTGATGTAAAAGGATAGCAAAACTCAATAGAGACCAGAATATGCAACGGGATTTCAAGCGACAGCTTCACATATCACGCACATAGACAGTTTCCTGACAAAGCACCTACCAAGGCTCTATGACACAAGAGAAGAGAAGAAAAGCGCGGCACTACAAGACTTCAACTTCGTCGATGTATGGACCTTGCTGAGCAGCATCTTTCAAGCAATCTTCAGTGAAGGTGTCGATACGCTCTTGTTAGGGGGAGTGACGCATTGCATGGTGAAATGACGAAGGGTGCTAAAGGAAGCAAGGTCTAGCCTAAACGAGCTAAACGAGTCATTCCTCAGCGATGCAGCTTACCTTTCGTCAATTACTTTCAACAACTACATCCATTGGGGTCAGTTGCAAAAGATCTGTGGATGTCTGCATAGCCATTGTCCACCTACAGTCATTACACATAAGATTTATGTTAGATTCAACTTCGATAATGGAGCCTGTTGGATTCATTGATAGATTGACGAGGACAAGCAAGGTTGTCGATGCGTACATCAGTGAGCTGTCACCCATGGTACGTAGGGTTCCAGAACAGTGAGAATGCAGGAAATAATAGGAGCTCCCATATTTGGAGAAAATGTCAACGCAATTTTGCGAAGAACATTAGCAGTATCCCACGGGCGGAAGATGGCAGGAACAGGGACAAAAGCGGCTGTCTAATAAGAAAAACTGTGGTTCTTACTTCCTCTTGCACCCTCATCTGTTCAATCTTGCAAGGTGCACCTTACTCAAGAAAGTGGGCTCTTCTCGTCAACAGCTCACGCTCGAGCCGTATAACCCAAAACGCTTAAATGACGAAGTGTCTTCTAGCCAGATTCCGGTGGCTGAGAGAATGAAGTTATCAAGGATCCGTGTGTCTACGGTTTTGGATTTTGGAGGACTATGATTCTTGTCCTTTTCCTATCCACAATGAATGGAGCTGACTCCAGAAGGAATGGATGGGAGACGATGTGACAAGAGAGGCAGAGAAAGAGTCAGAATCGCATAGGCCAGGCGAGAAGGCGCGACAGGGACTAGACAGGAGGCGGCAATCCCAGGGGAGAAAATGAGAAACGGCAGGAACGAGGGCCAACGGGGGTGAGGAGCCGTGTTTATCACATATTGTCGCATCCTTTACAGAGAGAAGGAGTGAACGAAGGACAAAAGGCCTTGCTCCTATTTCTTCCTGCACCATCTGTCCTAGGGCCCGCATTCCTGAAAACTGCTGAGAGCTGCCCCTTTTCACCCCCTTTTTCAGCCACTAATCCGTGGAGTTTGATATTGATCAGGCACGCCGTTTATTGAGCTAGCTATGAGTAGCTACTTTGGGATCGTCACTCATCCGAAACGATTTGCCTCTTAGATATCACGTGAAAGCGTTATTTGACGCAGTGGTACGGAATAAATGCCGCGATTACGCTAGCAAGACTTGGCACTTGGCGCGTCCGGTCGCGCTCATTCCGCTCATTCCGCTCCTTCACTCTCACTTTTACCACTTCACCCCAGCTTGCCTCTGGGAGCATAGTCTTCTCGCTGCTTCCTCATGCCCGCCTCATTGACGTCAGACTCCTCCTCATCGCAAGCTCTTGACGCTCACCCTGCTCAGCCCGAGAAATTAGGCCTCAAACGCGCTCGTTCCCCATCCCCACCACATTCCGCGCCCTACCCCTCAGTCTACCGCCATGCCCAGAGTGAAGTGACTTTGGAGCCAGGAATCCATCAAGCCGTCAGTATCACGTCCGTTGCCTCTCACATGGGAATTTACTGACCGGTAGCCACAGCCGTCAAGTCGCAATTTCGTTCACCTCCCTTCACAAGAGAATTAAGACAAGAGCGGCGCAAGTGAACAGTCCAGACCGGCTCCGACTGCTCTTCAAGTCACACCTTCACCTGCACCTACATTACAGCCTACCGCGCCTTCGCAAGCCGCGGACTTTGAATCTACAAATTCGCCTGCCTAGCTCAACTCTTCCGAGAGCGAGGATACTAGCGAGTCAGACGAGAACGAGCACACCCCTACAAGTGTAGCGGAACGGATTCAAGAGGAGGACAAATCGGAAAACGGAGAAGATTCATCATCTGAAGACGAGATCATGACGGCTTTGCAGATGCACGACCTTCTGAAACGGAATAAGATTTTCGTCAAGGACCCTCTGGTTTCCGAAGGCATTGCAATACCAGTCATTACTAAGGCAACAGAGATTATGAATAGAAGGCGTATCTCGGACTTTACGCCAATGGCACATGACGTCCGTACTACTGTTCAGGCAAACCAGGCCGTCAACGAGAAGACATTCGTGGTGGAGTTGTTCTTAGCCCTGCTCGGCAGGACGCCCACCCGCAAAATACCAGCGGTCAGTCTCACTCCCCTACTCACTCCTGTTCTTGTCGCTTTGATTTACCCTGCTGCTTGGCTACTACGACCCGGCCAGTGAAATTAAGGTGGTCAACCCCACTCCTCAATATCTACCCTCTTAATGGATGAGTTATGACTGACAGAATCATTGCCATAGTCTAACGATCTCACAGAAGCCCAACTGCTTGAAGAACGTAACTGGATTGAGCAGTCCTGGAGTAAGGATCATTTGAAGGCTCTATGGGACGCCGACTTCCAGCACTATGCAGTACCTGTAATAGTGACAGGCGACGCCTTTTGGGATGCGGTACTCGCACGCTTCCCGAAGGTCAAGGATCCACGACCAGATATCTCCTGGGGCTATCTGCCTTCAGTTTTCACTGAGATGCAAAAGGACGTTCTTAGAGTTCTTCAAACGACTATAACCACGCTAGAGGTCTATGGGCAGTTCATTATCCTTGAAGCCAAGTGTATGAATGCCTCTATCGAGGACGCAGAGCTTTAAGCTGCAGGCGGAGGAGCTGCGATGTTGAACGTACGTCGTCGTCTTGCGAAAGCTGCGGCTGCCGAAACCAGCACCACTCAGCAGGTATCTTACCCACGGATTGACTCGGTAAGCAACTGGCTGCCTGTCGCGCTTCTTGCATGCCGCGTGAGAAAGCACGCCGCTGACGCCTCTCCAGACCTCCATCGCCTTTTCCTTAGCTGTCAGCCCTCAGCATGCACACATTTTCGTGCACTACGTTCTCGAGGAGAGTGCCACGTTCGAAAATTGGCACATGTCTTTCCTTCGTGACTACAGCTTCCATCGCGAGGCCGAAATCACGCAACTCCATCAGGACATTGATAACATCTTCGACTGGGGCCTTGGACCCCGCAAAAAGAAGATCATCGAAGAGTTGGACGCAATCATCGCCAGCAACGTGAGCCTCAACAAACTTGTGCCCCCCAAGCCCAAGAAGCCGAGGGCAGCAGAAATGAAGGATGACAGGGAGGCAGAGTGGGCACCACAAGCCTGAATGCTAATGCTAACAAGTCTTCAGCGCGTCACTACAACCCCCAACAGATCTGTTGATCGAGGGGGGTATGGAAAGATCGACCAACATTGTCCGGTCTCGGGTGACTGCATTAAATGAATATGTTCTATGAGATTCTCAAGTGACAATCAGAGGCACTGCTCAAGTGCTGACTTTGCCTACATCTGATTTGCCAATAGCTACTTTAATAAAGACCTTCTTACTATTCTGCCCGCTCTCTCCCTTCTGGCATTCGCTGTATCTCTTCATGGGTCTCCTCCCCCTCATCCCCTTTTTCACCTTCATATCTGACCTCATGTAATGCTAGTGGCCTTGTCAATTGTACAGGAGACTGCTGCAATCACGATAGAGGAATGCATAACCACCGAAGAGTCGTGGCCATCTTAATTTCTAGGAATCCGTGAACCATAACCTCTCTCGCTGATGTCAGAGCATTTTATTTGGCCAGGAGAATTGAATTGGGCAATACAAGACATCACAGACCTCTCCCTACATCTTGCTTCACGAACAATGTGATAATCGCGCCGTCATACTTGCCCGACTCGTATCCCTAGCCCCCGCTCGCCCTTCATCTAGCCTATCCCATATCTAAGGGGGCGCCACTCTCAGGGTTTCATCCAGTCGCACCTACGACATCGCTAATCCTACTCAATAATCCTGCCTATCTATGCAGCTTGGACTTTCCATCTCACTTGCGATTCTCGCCCTGAGATACTTCAGGGTTAGGGTTAAGTAGCCTAGAAAGATATCGCAAACAGCTCTCCAGTAGGCAAGTATCAGGATAGTGGAAACAATATTGCTATTCACCAGTTGAGATCGCTACTAAGGTAGTCCAAAAGCGCATAGCATAGCTTCATGGATAAGAGGGCTTCATGCAGCGCGAGAGCTTAGTATGAAGACTCTTCTAAGTGCGAGCGCGTTCGAAGCAGTGTCGTTTCTGCACGCTCGTGGAGAGTGTGCGCAGTTATTCTGGTGGTGGTGAAGTCTAGTGATTGCATGATCGAGGAGAGAGGGCGTGGTAGAAACGTCGTTGTCCGACGCGGGGATGGCGCGTGATAGTGGATAGCGAATTGAAGTAGGGGCAGCTTATCTATCCAACCTATCTATCACGTATCATCTTTTCGCTCGAGGAGCAGAAGGCTAGGTGGAAATACGATTGGCGGGGCGACTTCTTCGCTGTTGCGAGGGGTATCAATCTAGATTTAGTAAGGAGGGTGGCAGAGAAATGGCTCTTTAGAGTACTGCGCCGTTTAGGGATCACATAGAGTTTCTTCAAAGGAGTAAGTTGTAGGAATGAAAGGAGAGCGGGTTAGCTTGAAAGCTCGATTATGCCCATATTGGTAGGTCATTGCTGAATATGTTGTAGGGTTCTATATAATAGTTGGAATAAGAGGAGGGTTTCCTCCTATTTAGCTGAGGAATCTTTGTTGTCATAGTGTTAAGGCAGATTCAGAATCAACTAGGCATGTCAAAGTAATAGAAGGAACTTTAGGAAGTCTAAGGAGTTTTAGAGGTATAAAAGGTATAGAAAGTTCAAGAAGTCTAAAGAGTATAGTAAGTTTAATAAGTTTGACATCAGAGAAATTATTACCTTAAAGATCTTAAGCAACGCCTTAAAGAGTCGCAAAACTTGAATAGCATTATACAGATGATGTATATTGTTGCGAAGGGCCAGGAAAGACACAAAACCATACTGGGGATCAGCCACTCACGTGCAAAGCTCTGCCACGGATCTACACATTTGTAACCCCCGCTCTCAAAACGCTCGTTAGCTAGGATTTGAGAAAGCAGATAGAAAATGTATTCACCTCGCTAGCATTTGACCTGACAACGTTGCCTAAGACTTCACCATATACGTAACAATCTCCAGCGTTTGCCTGACTACTAGCAGACGCGAAATGGCGGTTGGTGCTAACGGAGGCAAGCATTTTTTTTAAAAGAAAAGCACCAAGCCGATCGATATGGAGCCTAAGACGGAGGTGAAGTCGTCATCAGAGCAGTGAGAGGCCTAGCAAGAAAGCCTATGACATGACAAACTCCTGCGTGGGAAGCGTTACAAAGAGATGGAAGTCGTTGAGTCTTAGGCTGACGCGTACGTATCGACGGGCCCTGAACGTGCACCGATATCTGCGCCATGGTTTAAGAGTGTTGTTGCATTCGTTGGTTAAGTCCTGATATAGGAACACTGACCGAGTATTGTGGGTTGTAGGTGAAGCTTGACTTTAGTTGACGGTAACCAGGCGCGATTGCATCTGCAGATGATGTTTCTACAGTGGGGGCCTGATGCGTTGCTTGATTCACGCTGATCGGGTTCTGTCGTGAAGCTTCTATCAAGTGCGTAACAACGTGTTCCCGTAAGGTGGGAATCTCGCAAAAGCAAGGCCAATAGGTCGCATATATCATTTGGGCTGACACGCTGGGTAAGGCGAGGTCATGTCGTAGCTACGTTTGCAAGACCTCCTAGATTGGCTCCCTCTCATCGCCGGGGACATGATTTTGGATTAGGGAAAAGGATTTGGGTGTCAAGATAACTTTGACTGGATCAAGGCTGCGTGGTTTTCTAGACAACTCCTGCAGCGCCTTTAGAATATCGGATAGTTGTCTCAAATGAAGCAATAGCTTTGTTACAATCGTGACTTTTCTACCACACTTACTTAGATTTTCCAGCCTATTCAACATGTTTAGCTGCATACTGTTGCCTATAATCTCACGCTGGATCACATGATATATGGGGCAAGATGAGATCGTCTTGCAGCTATGTTGCTAAGACATGCTCGGTCACCTGGTGTTGTATGCATCACGCAGAGGTGCACAGCCTGCTAGGCAAGTTTACAGTTGCATTTCGCGTCAAACTCGCCAAAGCATACTATGCTGGAAGTCTTGCCGTTGATCCTGCTAGCCTCTCAAGACAATTCTCTGTCTCCAAACCTCCTTTAGCCTTCACTTTTTGTCTATTATGTCCACACCTTGTCAGTACGATTGGGAGGTCAAAGCGATCGAGTCATCCAAGCCTGCTAGGCCAGCTAAGGGAGCTGTAGTTAGGGTTATAAAATACTTAGGGGTTTTCAAGTAAAGCAAAAGTAAACTTAGCAATAGTTATAATTGTTTCCAGGGGATCCAGGGACTATAAATAAGACTCATCTATCTATTAGCGGATGCGGCCTTTCATTTCTGTTCCCAAAGTTGCATTTCATATCAAAGGATGAAAAATTCGGTCACCGGCTCTATAATCCCATTCTTTATCACCTATCCCGTCTTCGTCCCATCCCTCTCCGTCTTTCTCTTCAAAACCAACACTTCCGACCCTTTCATTGGTGGCCCATATCCGGTTTATGACTGCAGCGAAGAGCACAAGTATTACTACTGCTATACAGCCCCATTGACCGACAGCCGCGAATGGCTCTTGCTCTAGGAGCGCTCCTTGTGAAGCTTTTGGGAGCTTTTGGAAAGGGCATTAATTCAGGGTTTCCGTAATATGACTAGGTTATGGACACTCACTTGATACAACGCACCTCTTTCTAGCCCTCGTGCTCGAACATATATAAATCTCTCCTATATCTTATTCAAGTTCTCCTCGCAACATTCGCTTTTATACTTGACCTCTAGCACTTGAGGATCACAAGCAACGTCCTTGCTTTGCTTTCCTGAAATTGCAGCGCCAGCTGTGTCATGAAGGCATACAAAGAAGATATCCCCGGCTAGGTTTGCCGTGGCCATTTGACATCTCTATGTCCAAAGCATCTGCGCCGTAGTGTAAGACACGCTCTTTCCCACTGCGCCCGGCCTCACCTCCGTCATTCAATCTATCAGACTTTCGTTCCATCCCAGGGCGATGAATATTCGAATAACATATCATGCACATGATTCAATCGAAGTCATATTCCCATGCGTAGCCTCCCAACTGTCAAAGTCAAAAAGCTCCTCACCAGCGTAATATCCATTGGTGATTGTTCCAGTTGCAGCGTAATGCTCAATCACATGGACGATATGGTCATGTCCTTGTTCCTTCGCACATGCTGCTGCCTGTCTATATTGCTCTTGATCGGCCCCTTTCCGTCCAGCACCCGCTCTTAAGAGAACCACTACCATGTCGAGACGACCTTGCCAAGCGGCATATTGAAGTGCAGTCAGGCTCCCAAATGCATAATGTCTTCGATAAATCCCCCTGATGCATCTACCTGAGCGCCCGCTTGGAGCAAGGTAAATGCAATTGATATGTATCCCTTCATGGCTGCAAATTGTAGTGCGGTCGCTCCGTCATCCCGGGCGGCAGGACTATTGACATCTGCTCCCAGATCTAGGAGCTTTCTGATCAGCTCGACGTGGCCATTTTCTGCCGCTACCTGTAGTGGCGTACGATTGAACCCGCGTTTGACTGGACCATTGATCTTTGCTCCATATCTGATGAGGAGATCCACCATAGCGCTGTTCCCAGTACGAATAACATCCATGAAAAACGTTGATTTAGTGTAAGACCAGTATGAGGTATGGAACGATGTCATAACTTCGGGATTACACTTTGTGTCCACTTGATTCTGAAGCAAAAATTCCAGGAATTTGAACGTTGTTCCTTCAGCTGGTCCGGAGACAGCGTCGTTGGCTTTGATGATAGCGTGGTGCAAAAATGATGTTTGTAACCCCTCATTCTTTGGAATGAAAAGGGGGTTAGGATCTGCCTTGAGAAGGATTTTGAAGATCCGAAGATCATTCTGGTCGACGGCGTTCAAAATAGCGTCTCTGCACCACCCTGGATGGGCCCCTGGATATCGTGCGGCATGCTCTTGGGTCATTCGCTTGACCATATTTTTTGAGCTATATTCGACTGCCTTGGTAAGCGCGCCTCCATCATGGGGATCTGCGCCGTTTTGAAAAATGTAATCTATCATCTGGAGCTCCTGAGACTCGACGGCTGCCCTCAACGCAGTCAGTCCTGACTTCCGCGACGTTGGAATATCAATAAAGCACCCATTTTGTAGTAAGATATCTGCCATCAGTCGGTTTTTGCTTCTCACAGCAATGAATAATGCGGATTCGGCGAACTCTCTTGATCTCCTGCCACAGTCATTGATATCGATGCCAGCTACTATACACTTCTGGAGAATATCGACGTTGCCCCACCGAACAACAAGTTCAACCGGCGGTGTTTCATCGAGGCTGCCACTGTAAGAAAAGTAGGGTTCATCATGTGCGGTTGAATTAGTATAACGAGCTATTGGCTCTGCGTCGAGTATCGCGCACACCAAGGCATGATTTTGCAGCTTCAATGCACCGCAGAGGGGTGAGTGGTCACTAGTGACATCTTCTACGTCGGCGCCTGCGTTGACCAACATCAGAGCAGCCGCTTGCTGTCCGTAAATAATCGCAGTCGAGAGTGCTCGACCGTAATCAGTGGACATATTTTTATTAACCTGTCCGATCATTGTATGTAGTAGCGTGAGATCCCCGACTTCAGAAGCAGCCTCTAATGCTGGGAGAAAGGTATCTCTACCGTAAGTTGATATTGGATCTATCGCGCTTAGGATGAGCTTGGTGATCTCGGGTTGCTGGAGGCGTATCGCTACAATCAGTGGCGAGTCTCTGCTTCTCCTTCCGGCATGTGGATTAGCACCATGTTTTAGTAGGTAATCAGTGAGAACCTTGTCACCGCTGGAGATCGCGTTTGGCAGGGTATCGGGAGTAATGCAGGCACCTGCCTCGAATAAGGATCTTGTCAAATTGAAAAACCCACGTCGAGCAGCCTTTTCAATTAGGCTTTCTTCGCAGCGCTCGTGATGAGAGAAGGACGCGCCATATCTTGAAAGATGATCTTTGAAATCCGGTGAGACTTTCGGGGTCACACACAGGTCTATCTCCTTCTCCTTCATGACGTCGAGGTAGTGAGTCTTGAGTTTGTGTGATTCTGGAAGACTTTCAATAACACCTGGTGAAATCTTTGGGGTCGCATTCAAGTCTATTTCGTTCTTCACCATGAAATCCAGAAAGTAGAGTAAGCTATCCTGATCATACGTACCAAATAAGCTAGAAAAGATCCTTGAGTCACGCCAATCATGCTGGTTTTTTGCCAGTCTATTTTCAAATATCTGGCGAAAAAGATCTTGAGATTGACTGTCGTTCATTAGAAAATGTAGATCGTCAGGTGAGACTTCATGATCGGCGCCAACAAGCATGGAACGGACTTCAGAACCAGATCTCACGCAGTAGCCGCAGCCAGAAACAATGCGATTGACCTCCCTGTCGGCGTCCGTAGCATAGGAGCAGCTTTCATACGAAAACATGATTTCATCACATAGAGAACACTGACTGAAGTCGCTGTGCTCTTCAGGCTTTGCTCCATAGGCAAGTAAGACTTCGATGACTTGCTTATGTTTCAAATCAGTGGCCCGCCTCAGAGGTGAGCAGCGCCATCCCCTAGGGTCACATGGAAAAGAAAGCTTCTGGTTGACACCGATGTTTAATGAGCAGTCTTTGAGCAGTGTGTCGACTATGTCAGCATGCGCAAGCTCAATGGCAGCTTTGAAGACGCTCTTGGCAATAGCTTGTGTCGTATGATATTGAGGTGTTGACCGTACGATTTGATACAACTCCTTACTTGCTACTTGCAGCAATGATTCGAAGGCCAGTCTCAACCCAACATTATCCAAGCCCGCGAAGTTATTGGCCATAGAAAATAAAATGTGTCGGAAGATCGGAGACCTGGAAATATCGGTTCGGGGTCTCGCCAACGAGGAATCGAAGGCGTTAACTTCGCTACCCTCATGGGGCATGATGGAGTGAAGGCATGCTTCAATCCTACACTCTGGCGACGAAGCTGCATTGATGACTCGTTGAAGCACGACATCTTGGTAAGACGTGCCTCTCTCTGACATGGGCATCTCAATTGATAGAGTGCCGCGCAGGTAGCTCTCGAACTGATGAAAAGGCAAGTCTTGAGTCAAAACTGACATCTTAGCCAAGTTGGAAAATGGCACTCTTTCGCGAATGACCACATTCCCATTGAGCTCGTGCGCTGGCTCTGTAACTAAGTCACGACAGCTGAGAAGTTGCCGCTTCAGCTCTCTTTCAATTGTCGGAGTAGATTGTCTTTTCCCTCCAATCCAGACTTCCGCACTTTTCCCTGTGCGTTCGAGGTCGCGAACATGCGGATAAAGCTCCCTCCACGCCTGTGAAGAGTTGTGTTTTCGAAGTCTCCACCTGGTGGTTAGCCACTTCTCATATTGATTTCTTCTGCGAGATAGTCAGGCTTTAGGGTGATGAAGGGTGGGCCAGCTTGCTATACTTGACGTCCCAGCCGTGAGATTCTCTCATGTAGGATATCACCTGCCTCATGGGCCTCCCTTCGGTGGAGTAAAGCCTCTCTAGCGTAGCTCTATGGAGCTCCCAGTCGTCATCGCTGGGGCGCGTAATCATTGCGTCTGCCATAAGGAGAGAATCGTGTTGCAGTGGATCTTCGACTGGGGCTTGTGGTGTAATGCTTAGTTTGTGAGTGAAAGCTCAAAGATGATGAAAAGGCTGAAGAGTTAAATCCCCCTGCTTAAGTAAGCAACTGTCCATTGACCGATTTACGGATTCTGTGCCAAGCTCAGGATTCTTGGCAGTATCTGGATGACTTATGATCTGATTGGCTGGTCAAGCTTGGTGATGAGGCTTCCACTCACAACGAACAACATGATGACAGCCTATGAAACCCGTTAGACCATTTCATGTGATTACATTCCGGCCATGTCATTGGTATTGTCTAATTGATTCTCAGTGCAACCTTTCGTAGCTCCGCGGCTCCACCTGCGCAATTGCTATTCTCTATCGCGGTTGGCAATTTCGTGTCCCCAGCGCCATCATTTCTCGTGAATAGGTAAGCGATGTCGTCTATAGCTTAGGAGTATCTATACATGTTCTGGCAGTTGAGCCGGTGTTCTGACTGAGGCGATGGGGAGATCCCGGCTTCAAGCATGAGATAAAGATGCACTTTAGCAGTGACCTCAGAGTTCTGCGCATCGTGAACTGGAATACAATTGTGATCCAAATTGTCTGTTGTAAATTTGTCAGTATGCTAGAAGTATAGGAGAACTCTGAGCGTGTACTTGACGATGAGGCGCCTCTCCGCCGCCTTAGACAGTGCCATAACATGATAATTGTGCAAGGTGTTGTTATGATAACGCCGAGAGCAGTGATAAGAGCCTCAGTCGAGAGTCCCATGAGGACGAGGATGACTTTGTGAAGCTTTTGGGAACTTATGAATGGGATTGTTCTAGGTTGCGTCGGATTCCAAAGTCGAAGTAAGAAGGGAAACCAGAAGTATTACATATTGGCTGCATTAGTGTACTACTAGTCAGCGTTCTTATGGCGATGTTCGAGGGAGGTACTAATTTTTCAGCTCCTTTCGAGGTTGAGCGATCTTCTATCTTGCCATCTTTCAAGCATCTAAATTCATTGATGTTGGTGGTGGTCCGGGCTGAAGGTCCGGGTCCAACGGTGAGAGAAGGGTTGAACAGAGGTTATCGGCCCATCCAACGCTGAGGTCACGGTGATCAGCGTGTCATAGCGTGGAGGACAATCTCGTTCATGAGTTTTGACGACGGTGGGTAATTGGTGTTGCCACAAGCAACAGCGCCAGGCGATCCAGTCATCTTTGGTAGTGAAATTAACCATTGACTTGTGCTGTACATTTCAATCCACTACAATGCTCTGCCGTGGTCACCGCAGAATATCTGATGAACTCCTGGTAGACAAAAGGGGGAAGAGGGGGAAAGAGGGGGTATAGAGATCATAATGCTTCTGTGGTTAGAATTACGTCATCTGAGTCATCCGGGGCATTTGGTACAGCGACTAGACTACCCCCAACTCGACATCTTCCTGCCCTCTCTGGATTTCCTTCCTCACTTCCTTTGAATATATCGACAACAACTTTGGCACCCCTCCGTCTCGGCACTGCGTATGCAACTGGCCCTTCCAGAGAGTCTGGCGATATCATCTGCCATGGGCATTCACTCGTCGAAAAAGCGGTGGCGGGGGAGGGCATGATGGATCTCCACCATAAGACCTAGAAACTTCGGTGGAAAGAGCTTCGATTGGCCATTACATCCAAAAGATTCAGCAGGGAGAGTCAGTAAAGTTACTTCGCGCCAGACTCTCCCATAACCATCACAGATGTCATAGTCATCTTCTCTGTCGGCGCCTTCAGGGTGATGGCCTTCGCCTCCGTCCTCTTTCCAATGATCTCCGGCTCAGTGGGAGAACCTTCACCTCCTCGCCCGCTTCAAATCCCAGCTGACTTTGGCTCTTGCGCCATCAGATCTCACCGCACACCAACAGATCACTGTCTATCGGCTCCTCTCGGATCAAACATCTTCCCTTCCTTCCGCCTTCGACCCTCACAGCTCGACGCCTCGGCAGAGATCTCCCTTCCAAACAACAACGCCATGCACGCCTCTGCCTCCTCAGCGACTTCCTTATTCCCCCCTCACACCTCTCCGCCCTTATACCATCAACTCAGTCGTTGAATACCCCTCTTCCAATATCAACGACTACAAGCCTTGGGGTTAAGTGATTGCTAAGGGTGACTGGGATGGAAGGCTTCGTGCTAGGCTGAAGAGCACTCAATGATATCCTACGGTGGTAAAGGCAGCGATTCATGAGCGGAGGATCAAGACGTTGGAAAGGAGAAGATAATATCTACCGAAGGAGAGTGTGGGGTCGGCTAGGAAGAGTCTATTGATGCGAGATCAAGAAGACGTGCGCTGAGGGTAACACATTGATATGAAGCGAGACAACGGTCAAGAAATATGAGCTCACTAGGAGCTGGCGCTTATTAAAGAGACTTTCTTGAACACGGGACAGGATTGTGTGGCACATGGCATAAGCAATGTCTGCATAGAAATGCTAGATGCGACGAACGATCGCATAGCGAAGACGAGTTGGAAACATAGGAGTGAGTGGATAGGCTACGAACAGAATATGGGCGATGGTCCTCAAAAGGAGCCTGTCGCTCACCCACTCTCTACTATCTGGGTACACATCTCTCGCGAAAACATCTCCCCTTCCACTTTCTCCACCAATCGTACGACTCACCTTCCCACCCGCCCACTCACACACAGAATCCTCTCCCTCGCGCCATGAACTCGCTCACCTCGTGGTAGCCAATCAACCAACGAACGGCCACGATCTTCACCCCGCCCATCCTCCTTCACACCCCCTCCACATCCTCCAATCTCAACGCCCTGTACGAAGAAAGATTTTCGCGCAAGAGCATCAAGCGGGCTAGAAAGAAGGCGAAGGAGCATCCACACCTTCAGCCTAGGAGGGGTTTCCAGAGCCACCTGAAATGCGAGCTCAAGCCCACGGCCACGATAGGCTTCTCGGAAGGGGGCCGTGGGCCGGCGGGGGAGGAAGAGAAGAAGGATTCTGTTGGAGATGGGGGAGGGACCGGGAAGGGGGAAAGAAAGGAGGGGAGGAGGGGAGGAGGGGAGGATTAGTGAGGTCGGGTGTCACGAGGGCTCATGAATGAATCTTGGGGAAACGCCGGGTGAGTTGGGCTGTAGGGGCCGGTATGGAGGGGACTACTACAGGGCAACAGCGATGGGATGGGATGACTTGTGCTGAAAAGGCTTACAACCCATCAGGTCTGTTGTCGGAGGATGAGCTAGTGGTGATCACGGTCTCAGCGGTAATGCAGCCGCCAGGGAATCGATCGCGCAAGAAAGATATTTGCGGCTAGACTTGAACAGATAGACCGTATAAAATTCGCAACTAAACTTCGAAACAGCACTCCTTGCCGTTGGGGTATCACTGTATCAGACCGCCTGTACGCCCGCCCCCCAAGCCAATTTCGTCAGCACCAGCACTAACTGCACTCGCCTTAAGTTCCAAAGATACGCAATCTTCAGCGATGCCCATTAGTCCCATTCCCATTCGCCTGCCCTGCTGCCGCATCCAGCCCCTCCCCACTACTCCCTTCATCATCAATATCCTCATTCCCCATTCCTTCACATTCATCCTCATAAGCCTTGCATTTCTCATCCCACAGCTCCCAGCGCTTCCTCGCCTCCTCGCGCTCGTCAGCCGCCTTAGCTTTCTCGCACTGCCAAATATACAGCTTCAATTTCTTGCGCCGGTATGTCATCGCCTCATCTATGCCCTTGAACCTCTGTTCATACGCCAGCCGATCGGCTTCGAGCAAGCGCTTGTCCTGATATTCTTGCTCCTCGACGATAGCATCGATGTCAACGTCTTCGGCTTCCTCTTCGGGCACGTCGTACCCTTTTCGCTTCCGTGATCTGGGATTCGCATCTTTGACAGTGATGGTAGGGACTTCGAGGCTTTTCCAGGACTGGAGGGCGCAGCGGACCTTGACTTCGGCTTTATCCAACCCTTGCTTTGCTTTTGTGACAGCTGATTCTGCGGGTCCTGGGGCATTTTGTGTTGGGATGCGAATGGTGGTCTGCTGGCTCCTCGATTGCGCACGAGCCATGTTTGTAGGTGAGTAGGGATCTCGGCGGAGGGTGGGTACGGCGGGTGACTGGCTGTATGAGGAGATTGCTGGGGAACTTGGAGATACTTGGGTAGGACTGGAGAATTCGTTCCGAAGGCTGTTTTTGGCGGTGACTCTTTCTTGGTGGCTGGCTCCACGGCCAACCTCTATGGATATGTCACTGTCTTCCCAGGTCTCTGTTTGCACGCTCCAATGGCGAGTTGTACGACGTGATACGCTTGGGACACGTACTGCACGAGGCCTTGAGGTTGGAGGCAATGAATGTGTTCGTAATGGTCCGTCGACAGATTGATCTGGTGATTGGTGGGGGAATTTATTGGGAAGAGGGGCTGAGATTCAGGTAGAGACGTCAGCAATTGTAAGCATACAATTAACACAAGGGCGCACTTACTGTAAGGGATGCTGCTGCTCGGAGAGCGCCCGTTACTGTCGCTGTCGTAATTCAACAGCGGCAGATCGTCATCGCCGAAATTGTCAAGATTGGGGTCCTGCAGTTCTTTGCTGGAGGGGTCAAAGCCTTCCTGACTGCGGATCTCCTCTTCTTCTTCTGGACGCCTTCCTGTGCCAACCTCGTCCTCGACGTCCCCGTCCGCGGCTCCGTCTTCTTCGCCGATCTCACTCTCGCCTTCTTCGCCGTTCTCGCTTTCGTCTTCTTCCCAGTCTATGTTTTTGTTTCTGCGATTCTTGACTGTCTGCTTTACCCTATCCTGGTCGCATGCTTCCTGCTCTTCTTGGCTTTCGTTCTCGTCGGTGTCAAATGATGGGGAGGAGGGGGAGAGGGATGGTTCGGAGAGTGTAGGAGAGTGTCGCTTGCGGTATTTCCGTGTTGTACTCTTGGATTTCTGTGTTGGGAGAATGACAGGTTGATTGGGATCAACCGGTGTAGAGGAATGACTGATGTGCTTGTAGAGTCTTTCGACTTGGTTGACTGAAGGTTTGTTGGTGTCTTGACCCCGCCAACGTCCTTCCCACACCTCAACGACAGATTGAAGACTCTTCTCGATAGCAGATACGGTGTAGGATCGCTTCACAAATTCGAAGACGACCTTTTTGGTCGCAGAGAGAGTATTTGCGCCGAGGGACTCTGGGGCTTGATCCCACCTAGGGAAAGCTCTGTCGAAGGCGATACCCTGGGATTTGATGTAACAGATGGCAGCACCTTTCCTCTTCGATACCGTGTAGGTATTCGGCGACATAGAATTGCATTCGTAGGAAGGGTGATGGAAGTGAGGGGGTCTTCGTTTGTTTGCTTGTCAGTTCTTGGCAAAGCGGGCGAAGGTTCTTCCGTCTGAGTTTTTGCGGGCTTCTAGCTGTGACCCATCGTAGCTCTCCCATTGCGCCAAGCCAAGTCACATATCTTAAGGTAAACCGCTCCAACATCAAACCTTGTTACGATCTTTTCCAAATCGTGGCTATTGAAGCGATGTCACCTCAATTATCAGCTGGCCAGCTGGCTGTACCGCTGAATGCCACTACGTATCCTGCTGCAGTCAGGTGACCTGGAAGCAGCTGCAACTTTGTTGATCCGTTGCCGCTTGGGAGGCGACTTGCTTTGGGTCATCACTAGCGTTAGAATGGAAGAGATCAAGGTGCTACGCTTCGCTGCTCGACCATGACTGATGGGCTGAAGATCTCAGTCTCCTTCAAATCAACATGCTGAGTGAATTGGGACCTCTCTGTTCAGTCCTTCCACTCCGGCTATGAATCAAAGAGCATATCTCGTTGTGCCCTTCACATCTGTGGCCGACGACTCGACTCTTCGCTGTTTTACCACAGTACTCTTGGCTTTGATGCTTCTATTGCATACCGACTTTGCATGCGGTCGGACATCGCTGTCCTTTCCCCTGCTTTTCTAAACTGGGCTTTGACACATGGCTTCAGTCTCTGCTATCTTAGAAACTATCCTCTCTGGGCATTCAGCAGCTATGGCCACTTTCAAGCCCCCAAGGAGCTGTTGCTTCCAATTTCCACCACGACCATCCCCACAAGTGTACATTGAAGATGAACATTCTCTTTTGCTGTCCTGAAGAAATTCTAATTTACCAGGCAGACCTTCTCGTGCGCCAGCACAAAAAATGCAAAAGAACATACGTTTACTCTAAACGCGTTTAGAGTAAACGCACCTATATTACTTTCAAGTCTTCATTAACTTGAGCGACTTGCCCATTACATAGGCCGGCGTTAGTCTTACTGACTACATTGAGGTGGGCTGTACGGTGATGACAGCTGCTACAGCCGGTCCCCAGATTCCCATGATGCACACATATCAAGGCGCTGAGAGATTTATGCCAGGCGATAAAGTCCCTTTGTAAGAAACAGGAGAGGGACATCTGACAGACATATATATAAAGCATCGAGAGTACTAGGAACACTTACGTCCCAAGGGACCAATGGGTTGAGTCTGCAGGGCCTCTTCCGTTTAAATGCTTAGCCGACGAAAAAGTTTGGCAAACGTCTCTCAGTTAGCCTGAAAGAAGGTACAACGGATACTCTCGATGAGAATTTAACCGCATGGATGAGGCTGCCAAACAGAGGCGTAGGTAGACAGACAGCTATGCGTCCCACGTCCATCCATCCATTCCTTACGCTCCGAGGTATCGTCGACCCTTTCGGACAAGAGAGACTTAGTAATAGCGAAACTTTTAAAACCTGGCGCTTTCTAGTCCTTAACCTCTAATGCTCACCTACGACCAAACCCACCATAACGCTGGCACTCCTCCACCGTCGCATCATTACACGGTATTTTCCCCCTAGGACTTCCATGCAACCGTCCCTTCACACACAACTGCTCCGCGGCACTGGCATCCGAATTCGTTAGCACACAGAACGCCACCAAGACGCTACCGCGAAACTCTTCTCGCCTTTCTAGCGCTGCCTTGGTGTGAAATACCAGAATTTCTATCGTCACTTTGCCCACTGGCCTGTTCGTGCCGTCTACATCGTTGGAATTCGGCGCCACGGGTGTTCAGGAGCAGCATAGACAGCGCAAACATTTGGGGAACGAGATCATGAGGGAGGACTAGCCTGGTGTTGGTTGAAGGCAGCGGCATAGAGAGCTGAGTATACGTTTGCTGTGACTTGCAACGTCTTGAGAAAGTGGGGGAGAGGATGTGGCCTTTTCCGTAAGCGGTGGCGAGGTCGATACCGTTTGGGAGGGGGGCCGGGGCAAGGTTGGGTGTGGTAGTAGATGGGGTTGGTGATGTTTTTGCTTCTGCAGGTTCCAATACATCTTGGCTTGGAAAGGATTAGGATTTTACGATAGACTAGATCCTCGTTAGATTCGTTGATATAACGATGGCAGGGACTAATCGATTTGGGGGTAAAGGCGAGTGCGAGGAGGAGAATGGTGTTAGAGGTGGCGAGGAGGAAGGTGAACCACTGGTGCATGCATCTTGAGTTGTTATGGATTCACGGATAGATCGTCCGATCAGTCTTCATGACTCTTCTATCTTATGATAATAGAGATCTTCAATGCAGCCAGCTGGGGGTTGATGTACAAATGTCTCGGGCATACACGCGCATGTCACAGACATTGTTTTGATCAGAGGCCCGCTTCAGGGCCAGAGCCAAAAAACCACGGTCTAATCTGCGTTTGGGTTTTCAATTGTATGCTGCTTTCATCCCTCTATGACAAGATAACTTGGGATTTTTTGGCCGGCGGATGCGAAGATAAAGTCTTTTTTACCAGATCTTCAATGACGTCTCTCACACACGATACTAATACGATTGATAATTCCTCACAATCTTTAGAAAAGGCTCAAAACACCAGAAGGCTCGCCCACCGTCTCGCTAAATCATCGGACGCAAGACTGCGTGGCAAATGGGAAGCGGGTTGAAATGGCAGTATACTGACCGCTAACTTAATCGTTCCCTACGCCGATCCCTACGCCGATATATCAAGTATCACGGTGCTAGCATATTTGCATTCCAAATCCCGCGAAATTCGATAGGCTGCAGCCAGGGGACAGAGTGGAGGAAGCCGAACCAGATCTCGCCAAGTATAGGCCCTTCCTCAACAATTAAATGCGCTCCAGGCCGCACGCTTGCAGTTGAGCCTTTTTGATCGCATTGTGCCAGCAACCCTGCTTAAGTAGCTCTAAAGCTCGGGGTAGGGAAGATCACATCCGTCAAGAATCAGTCGATCTATACGGAGAAAGTTCCAGCAGAAAGAGAACGGCTAATTCTACGTGTCACGCTCGCGAAGTTAACGCTCAGCTGCACGGCATTATCAATGGAGAAGTAGAAGGTAATAGCATTATGGATTGCGCAAGGTTCAGAGGAAGGGTCCGCGTGTGGTCGTAGCACAACTAAGATTCACTGAAGTGTAGAAAGGGGTGAATGGCTTGCGGATTGGACACGAATGTAAGCTGAATTCAATCCTGGAAATGTGCGCATTATTGTCCTAATTTAATGGGAGGATAGGAAGGCGATGGATCTATCTAATTGAGCCGAATCACGCTGACTATTTTTGCCACTGCTGTGTGTTTCAACCCGTTTGTTAATCCAAAGTGAGTAGGGTTCTCTTTCGTTCCAAGTAATAGGCCTTTTTTCTACAGTATTGATACCGCTTCAATGGATATGAATTTCTTCGCCTTCGATGTTTAGACACCACTTTTAGCTTGATATCTAGTTGATCTTGGCGTTCTTTATAATGTTTAATCGTGAGTATGCATACTAGACCTGACGTCTAGAATAAACGCTAGTTCCTTGTTGTCTTTTTCTCTTTTTCTTCTGCTCCTCGCTACGTTACTCGTGACATGTTGCTTATATCACATCCTTTGATTGCCCTCTTAATGTATCACTTTTCATCTTAGTGTCCTTAGTTTCAGCAACTTGAGTTAAAAGATAGTATTATGTTCTTGTGTATTTTCGCCGTGAAGGCCCCATACTGCGCCTAGTAGACAACCGCTTTAGTACTTAGAGGTGAATGGTGTCAGAATTGTAAGCGAGCAGAGACTCTCGTACGATCGTCTACCCAGGAAGCTTTCCCCCTTTCAGTCTGATTCGCTACTAAACAGCTGCCACGACATCGCATTGCATTCTATTGAACAGTACTGGACACTGTCTGGCGCAGGCAATCTGCTTTGCGACTACTCTTAATGCAGTAGAGCTCTAGGAAGGGCTTCCTAAGTGGTGTAACGTCAAGATGGTCTTCTGAGAATAAGCCGCGATGAAAACAGCAAGACTATCTCGTAGTATTGTGTCCAATGCCTGAGGATTGAAAAGAGATCAGGATGCTAACCACGATTCTCAAGATGATGGAGAACTGAAGGACCATGAACAATTCGCATTCAATTTGAAATTACGGCAAAGTGCTGAGATCTTTTGCTCATAATTTCATGTTTAGTGTCGACCAGGCAACGGGTGAGTGACGCGACATCACGTGCTAGATTAGTCGTGCGGACTTTGCCAGTGGTATCGATGTCTCTTGCTTTCTCTTGAGGTATGCACCCTGATTCATTGTCGCTATTATGCCAACCAACAAGCTGATCTGTTCTATTTGTCATAGTGCTACAACAAAGGGTATGCCTAGTTTCCTTACCTCACGAACTCCAAATTCTCTTGGAAAACAAAGCCTAAACGTAGGACCCTCCTTCAGAAAGAGATATCAGCAACCTACAGCTATGTTGCCATTGCATACTCGAAACCCCTAAATACTCTGATTTCGCGAGCATACAGGCTTGTGGGAACGAAGACTGTCCTAGTATATGTCAGTCACATAATGGCTTGTAACGCTACCCTGCATTCCATTGTGTATCACGCCTACTACTTTCAGCGCCATGCAATCACACAGGTTTGATAAGAGGAGAGGCAGACTGTTTTTACAAATGATTAAGCCGAACTTTGCCCTCTACTGCGCTTGAGGGTAGAATGCCTAGGAATACGACGTCATGATCAACCAAGTAATCCAATAGAGACCCTCCCTATCTTCAGCCGTGTAAAAATAAAGTACAAGAGCCAGAAAACAGGGTATTCTACTAGTTACGACTGCAATATCAGAAGGAGCAATTAAAACAGGGGGCATACTTAATTCTATACTAAAACATCCTCAGCACTAGGCAAAATCGTGAAAATGACATGGGCGTGCGCAGGCCAACGGAGTCAAAGATCATCTATTGGTCACGTCCAAGTGGATCCGCGCGTTGCATGCTATGTGCAATCATCATCAGCGGCTTACTCAATAACATGAAGATGG